CTCAAAGAATAAGAAAAGATAGGTTATATAAACACTAGAAGACTTAATCAAAAAACCTTTTGCTTTTAGACTTTTGATTGATATTAAGTAACTTAGAGTTCAGGGGAGGCTATCGCCGAGAGAGCGATGGCCGTGAGTGTGCACTGGTGGCTGATGGCGAGCATCTATTTCCTCATCTCAAGTAAGTGAAACCAACTTCATATAGCCATGAACATTAAGTGTAACAGTGATAATTGTAAAGTGTAAAACCACAGGGAAAGATAGGCTACTAGATTGACTAGGTTCAATTCGAGACACCGAGGCGTAGAATACCCGCCAGTAGGGTGACAGGAGGTAGAACCAATGATGACTGCAGGTTCATTATCCAGTGTAGACAACCGACGAACGTCGGTAAGAGTGCATATAGATGTATATAGTGACATAGAGAAATAGAATAGAATAGACATGCATGTGAGTTTACTTTAACCTAGCAATTCCTTATGTGTTACCCTCTTCCTTGACGACTCCAGGACCTCCCAACACTCCGGCGAATGACGAGTTAAGCCAGGACAGTGACGCAAGCTATGATAAGTTTACTAGATTTCTTGAAAATAACAAGATGGTGGCAGCATACTAAACAGGGTGACAGAGTGGGATATTTCCACGCCCTCTGTCACCTCGGCATAAGAGAGGTGTAGCGGCGGCTTAAGAGAGGTACAGTGGCGGAAGCGGTGGAGGTACCTCCACCCCCCCCCTTTCACGCCATAACACTCATCACCACCAGATGAATTGGAGCTATCATCAGAACTGTCATCACTATCACCGCCAACATGGAAGACGAACTCCCGTCCTCCGTCCAAAAGGCCTTTCTGTGCCATTAATTGTTGCTCAATGTTCCTTACATGTTGGCACCTACGTTGCCATTCTTCTGCCGTAATGGAAGCCAATTTTTGGTCTGCCAGTTTAATGACGTCATCCATCCATTTCTGGGGAGACACGTTCGTTGCTTCTGCATTGTCTATGCAACGGCTCCCTGTTCTTTGCGTTGCCATGGAAGTGCCTATTCCAAACTCATGTGTTCAGCAATTCGTAGACTCAGGAACGCTCCTTTGCAACGGTCTGTTTGTATTCGATTTGTCACTGATGGAACTCAATAATTTCCATTGTAGCCGTTGCGCTGCGATGGACGTAAGATAACACGTCACAATATTAATACAGTAATTAGAGAATAATACACTCAAATACGACTCCAAAAGTCAAAACTTTTTAACTTGACTGTACATGGAAGAATGCTCTTGAGACTGCTCGCATTGAATGCAGATGAATGACTAATCACAACACCCCTCAACTTTCATGAATGGACCTGCCTATCCACTTGCACAGCTTTTCCTGGACTGTCAGCTCTAAGTACTAGAGCTGTACAGCGATATCACTGATTTACACACTCTTCATTATTCACTGTTACACACTCTAGTCCTCTCCTGGTAATGCTATTAAAACACAGCAGCTACCACTCCAAATCACTCTCAAGTATTACACATCATTAAAGTCTTCTAATTACACACGAAGTCTTCACAGGTCTTTTACGAACTTCCCATGGCTGTCTCCTATCAAGAACTCACTTGAGCAGAACTGCACTTAAAACTCTCTCACTGTTACTTAAACACTTAAACATAGAAATCTGTTCTGTATGGAATCTCGTTATATAACTTCCACACCAACCACGCACAGAAAACCCAGATCTGTTGTTGAAACGTGTTTACTGAATGATTGTATAGCAACGTCATGGCAGGACTTATGCGACTGAATGTTATTTACAGGTCGTTGCCTAGAAACACTCTGGCCATCCACATTACATTATATATATGGGGTGGTGCACAAAATAATCCAGTATTTAGTGCAGTATTAATTACTCAACCATGCAGTGAATGATGTTTTGTAACATGGTAACACAGTAGATTATTGAGATTAATTCTTACTCTTCCCAAGCTCGCTTATATCGCGCTGTTCCTTCTCATGTGCCAGTTTACACAAGATGGCTGACAAAGAGTGTTTACACAAGATGGCTGACAAAGAGTGTAGAACAGGTATGTCAAACTCAACTTGTACAGAGGGCCACCTAAGCCCTATAAATAATAGTCCAGGGCCGCACTTCAAAATAGAAATATACGTTATATTTTGATACAAGGAAATTTAATTCTATTTATTATTTAGGAATAATTTCAATATAATTACCTAAAGTCACATATCTTACAGTTTTAAAAAGCAAGAGAATGCCATTTTTGACAAGCATCAAACAGCTTTTCAATATGTAAAAAGAGAGATTACACAAGAAATTATGTTAGAAATAGCAAAACATTGAATTTCCTGCAGCCTGCTAATTTATGTCTGCGTGAGACTTCTTGTCTTCTGGTCTGTTGGAAAATTGTCTTTACAAAAAATATTTCTACTAAAATTTTAATATTGATTTTAATATCAATTAACTCTAAAAGTTGAGGGGCCGCACTTTGTGGCTATGGGGGCCGCATGCGGCCCGCAGACCGCATGTTTGACACGGCTGGTGTAGAACAATGCATAAAGACAGTGTTGTTCTTTAGTGAAACAAGAAATGTTGTGGTCACTCAGAGGCAGTTTTGTGCCCACTTTTCAAACACAATGGGCACCTTCATTCAAAACAAGTCGTAAACTTTATAACCAATTTAATAATGATGGTTCAGTGTTGGAAAAGAAACATCGCCAGCCTTTGTTGGTGCATTCTGTGGAGACCATTGACACTGTCAGAATGGCACTACATAAAAGCCCCAGTAAAACAACAAGGAAGGCTGCAGCACAACTGTGGTTATCCAGACGTTTGCCTAAACTTACAGTTCAGAACATACATCAAAGAATAGCATTTGCTGAATGGGCATAGAATAATGAGTTATCATTCAACAATGTCTGGTTTTCTGATAAGGCACACTTCCACTTGGATGGTGTGGTTATTAAAGAAAATGTGGGATTTTGAGCATCAGAGAATCCATGTGTGATTCATGAGAAGATGCATTGTTCACTGAGAATTACGGTGTGGGTTGTCTTCTCAAGTCATGGACTGCTAGGGCCACTTTTCTTTGAAAAGAGAGTGAATGGTGAGTGCTATTTAACCCTTCAGTTCCAGTCTCAGTGCACTGCACGGCAGCAGTTTCTGTCACATGCCGCTGGTGTCTGCGCACTGCACGCATATTGCAGCCCTAAGTTTCACCTCTTATTCTGAACCGTTATTTTTCATGTAAAGTAATTCTTTTGGTATGAAATTAAAGAGGAAATTGTAGGCTATTTCGTATATTTGTTGTCCCACTTTGAACTTCCTGTAGGAGTTGTAATACATTTGAATTCTTTGAAAAACTAAATATATGTTACATCGATAATGTGTACTGTCCTCTGTCCTGATCGAATGAAAAGTCGGTTCTCTTGAGGCATATTCTGAACTGTGATGCTTCAACATTGGTATTTATAACTACGAGAAGACATGAGAATCTACGACTTTGAGACATGATGTTGACTCTAAGAAGTGTGTTATGACTGCTACAGTAGCAAATGATAAACAGTTCACTATATGAATGGTAACTACTGTGATCCCCCTTTGTTCTATAAATATGCATCATGCAGTCTCGTTAGCCAAGGCCAGCCTCAAGGAATGAAGTGGCCAGCTGTGTTGTCATGACCAATATATATATATATATATATATTATTCTGATTCTGTTTGAAGTATGTATATATATATATACTTCAAACAGAATCAGAACAAAGTTTTATCAGATTCAGAATTAGACACTGAAAATGGATGGTTGTGCTTTACTGGATTCTGTGGTAAATGACAGAACCGAGAATAGCACAAAAATCCATTGGGAATATGCATAACTGTAAGGGACAAAAAGAAAATTTCTGAATGTGATGATAATAGTACATTGGAACAACACAATAAAAAGAATAGCTCAATTGTCAATCAGAATTCAGTTAATTGAGGGACTCTCTGTGAAATATACTAATACTGTAGAACACAAAGTGCTGGGTCGACAGTCACGCAACAAATAAGTGCCCCGTCTAAAAGAAAGAATTTTTATAAGCAAGATTCCACCATCTGCGAAGAAGTCAAAACCACAGAAACGGCGTGTTGTGTGTCAAAAACTGTGTACTGGTGTGATGCGAGACCCTGTGTGGAATGTTTTCACAACTAACACACCCAGCTGAACTTCTAAAGTAAAATGATACTATCATTCATAATTTTTATAGGCTTACTATGCCAAAAAATAATTTTAAAGCAATGTGGATCAATACACCAATTCTATATACATTTCTCAATGTAGTGTGAAAATTAGAAAAACAGAACTCCAGTTTTTCCCAATTTATTACACTTTAGCTGAAATGTTGCACTCTCTGATTTAAATATTTAAATATCCTCTGGCATAAAATGCCTTCTGGCGGTGAAGGGTTAAGCATGTTGTAAAATACTTTTGTTCCTCACCTACTTGGTACAGGTTTGCCATTACAGACTCAGTGGTTCACACAGGATGCAGCCAGGCTGTACACAGTGAATGCTGTTTTGGACTTTTTACATGACACTTTCAACTTGCATGTCATCTCAAACCGATTTCCTTATCATTTCGCATATGGATGGAACTGGCCCTCGAATGGTCCTGATTTAAACCCATGTGACTACTTTCTTTGGGGATTCCTTAAGGAAAAGATTCTTCTGGAGGAGCCACAAACAATAATAAAACTGAGAGCACTAATCATTCAGGCCTGCAATGAGATAACTGAGGATATGTGCCGTTGAGTAATCAACAGCATCACAGTCTGTGTTGAAGAAATTGCAAGACATAATAGTGGTCATATTGAACACTTGATCTCCATGCAGTGGTCTTTCTTTTTGTATATTAGTTTCTCTTATTTTAATTGAAATCAAGATTTTATTAATAAATCAAATACTGGATAATTTCATGTTCCGCCATCAACCCTGTATCAAAACAAATGTCATTAAATCAGTACTATTACAATGGAACCCTCATTTAAGGCTTCATTTTAGGTTTTCCTTCATTTGTTGTTCAATCTCAATGATCACAAGTCAGCAATATTAGTGTTTAATTGCTTCCATTTAATACTTTCCCTAGTTCAGTGTGATGTATTTTTTTTTTCTTTTCAGTGTAGTGGTGTTTCACAGAATAATGTAACCAAGAAGAATCTGTACAAATTTTGTAAATAGTAATGACCATTTTTTAAAGTATCTCCAGTTTAAATTTTGATGCATAAATCTTCTAATGACTTCAGAAAGATGCCTTGTCTTTACGTAAACCTGCTAAGTCTTTGCATTCCTTACATGCATAGAACTTCACTGGTCAGAGAGTGTAATATTAATTTCATCATTTACCTCATATTAGTGTAATTAATAGTTCAAGGAAATTTATAACTTTTTAAGACAGTGCATTTAACAGAACCAATTATCTTTGTTCCTTTCTGTATAGTGTTGAGCTTTTACTGATCTTTACATTATTTCACTTTCCTTTATATCTGGTGCATTGCAAAATGGAAGTGTGACCGTTAGTGATGGACTGAAAAGGGTTCACCTTGTAGGACTGTGAAGAATCATGAAAGGCATCAGGACAGCAATTCTTCAGGCTGAGTTTAAAATACAACACAGGAGTGTTAACCACAGTGCTGTGACATTTGGTACTTTGTAATGTAATGTTTTATGAATGTGAGATATCAGTTACTGTAAAGAATACTGTTTTCTGGGATATAATGCTATGTAGTTTGTTGAAAGTCAGCTGACATTTTTGACTAACATACTGCCTCCAACTTCAGGGTACCAACTGATTTCTCACTGGTTTGTTACTCAACTTATTCTTCGACCCTGAAGATGGAGGCAATATGTTCCTCCAAAACGTTGGTTGACTTTCATTGGACTACACAGCATTGTATTCCAGAAGACAGAACTCTTCATAACTGGCGCTGTGAGAACCTCAGATCCTACACTGAGCTACTGTATTTCTCTGACTGACTAAAATAGTATTACATATTTAACAGGAGCAATAATGCAACATTATTTTGTTTCAGGAAATGGTTTGGGTGATAATGGTGATATACAGTTAAATCCGAAGATGATAAAATCTTTGGCAACAAGTCATGTTATCCAGATAACCTGTGGACAGAATCACAGCCTTGCATTGACTCAGAGTGAGTGTCATGAGTTTTGTTTGAAAATAAATTTGACTTGCACATATCATGTATGCATTGATAATGCATAATGCATAATTGGGTGAAATATTGCCTTTTTCAAGCATTTTTCAAAGATTTTTAATTGTTAAATAAACCAATTAACAATCCGAACTGCATCTTCAGTGGGCGTAATTTCGAGTGTCATCTACTTCAAGAAGTTTTGCAACGCCTGGGAGTGAGCAAAACGCGCACCACACCCCTGCACCCACAGTCAGACAGCATGGTGGAACACTACATTAAAACCATCAAGGAACACTTGTGGAAGGTCGTCGCATCCCACCAGAGGGACTGGGATGAGATGTTACCCCTCTTTCTCCTAGCTTACAGGGCATCCACTCACAACACTACAGGCTTGACCCCTGCTAGCATAGTGTTTGGGCAAGAACTCCAACTGACCTGCGACCTGCTGTTTGGGGTACTGCCAGACAGGGATCTACCAACAACCAATTATGCAGCAGACTTGGTGGATCATCTACACAACATTCACAATTATGCCTGACAGCACCTGAAACTAGCCAGTGATCGGATGAAAACTCAGTATGATAAACTGGCCAAGTCCGCATGAGGGCGACAGAGTTTGGCTCTATCGCCCAGCCTGCAGGAAAGGGAAATCACCGAAACTTCAGTCCTCATGGGAAGGTCCTTACAAAGTAGTAACCTGGATAAATGATGTGGTATACAGAATCCAGAAGAACTCAGGTTGAGGATGTTGGTAGTACACCTGGACTGGCTTGCGCCTTATTGTGGAGCTGCTCGAGACGAGCAACCATAAGAAGGGGGCGGATGTAGCAGTTGGAGAACGGAAAACGGGAAGAAAAGAAACACCGAGCCAGACAAGAAGAAGACATTGCAAGTATAGCTTCGGAAGGAAAGGACTGGTGATGAACTGTTAGGCTATTCAGGACGAACAGCCTTAAGAAGGGAGCAGTGTGACATGTCTAACCGTTGCTGGGCAGCGGGAGGTGGAACAAGTTACCACGAAGACAGACCCTTGATAAACGGTCGGTTGCCAAGTTCCGGAACAGTGGAAACGAGGTTATGCAACAGTAAGGAAAGCAGTGTTTCTCCGTTGAACCATTTCATACCCGGACTGTAACCAGACCGGATTTCAGGAGAGAGGAAGGGAGTTCATTTACCTGTTGTGGGATACACACTCACTAACCGCTTGGGCAGGTTATTAGTAAGACAGTCAAATAGACGGGGACACGGCATACCGGGTTTTTACAATGGCTATAATGTAACAACATAAAACCAGAATACATTCAACAACAACAAGAAATATAAAAATGAATAACTGAACACAGATTTATATCAGATGTGAACATCAAGAAATACATAACAAGAAGACCATGACCTACTCCAGCCATTCAGATCAACGAAACCATCAGGGCCACCAACCATTATGCTCACCAGAAAATAATAAAAAAAATAATAATAATCATAGAAGACCAATATATTCATTCATTCATTCATTCATCAGTAATCTGTCAAGACGACAGGTCCACTGTCTCTTCCAAAACAGTTCCTCCACTTAATGTGATATAGAGCTTTCTCCTTCAAATGAGAATATCCTCTTCTGTCCCCAAGGTCATCCAGCATCTTCTTACGTCTTCTTTCTCATCTTCTGGTCACTTCTATCCGCCCCTCTATCTTTCCTTCAATAACTTCTTTTAGAAGGCAGTTACTGCATAAGATATGACCAATCCAATTAGCCTTCCGTTTTCTTATTTCGTATAGGATATTCCTCTGTTCACTGACTCTAAATAATACTTCTTCATTTCTCACATAATCGGTCCAACTGATCTTCTCCATCGTTCTCTGACACCACATTTCGAAGCTTTCCAGGTGTTTCTGATCTACTGTCCTAAGTGTCCAAGTTTCAGCCCCATACAAAGCCATGCTCCAAATATAGCATTTCACTAGTTTCACCAATATATATATATATATATTACTCCTTTGCTTCACCATTCCTCCATGGCTCGGCATAGGGGCCCTTTCTTGGGACTAATTGCGTTGACTATCAAAACAGATAAAATTTAGACGCACATTAGAAAAACCAAACACGAATTTCTAAGAGCAGAGACAACCGCTCTGCCCAACAGCCACCCAGGGAAAGAGAAAGACCCTTCGTCTCGTTTACGGAAGACTGGAAAAAGGAAAGCGGAAGGGGGGAGGGGCTCACATGACTAAACGTCATGCAAAGAACTTAAACGGAAAAATAGGAACATTGGCTCTGCCCGGCAACAGGACCATGACGCCCTCCACAGGACGAACCCTTTGAACCGCCTTAAGATGGTTGAGGATCACCCCCTCTCCCGGCACACCCAGCTCTATCACAGCCTCTCTGCATTGACCTGCACCCAAAATGTCTCCACCTAAGGTCCATCGGGGGTTCACTCATCACACAATAAATTCCGCAGGGAGGGAGGGAAGAACAAGTTCAGTGTGAGGGAGAAGCACCTCCCCACAGTCGATACCCTTGACGTCACCACTCACTCCGTGGCACGTGCACCACCAATAATCCAAAGAATCCTTCCTCCAGAAGTGCAGCACCGACACCCGAACATACATGGGTATAAAGATGCCGGAACGCATCTACGCTGGATAGAGCAGTCTCCGACCACCCCAGGCCCACGAGAAGTTGGAGGTGTGCAGCAGCTCCCGAGTAGAGCTGCCAGTGTCCGCAGCCAATTAAGGAAGGAACGAAGGGAAAGATGGCATTCCTCTAGAACACAAGAAACTTACGCAGACACAGCTCACAGTCCCAAGAGCAAAACAAAAAAAAAAAGAACTCCAAAACAGCTACATTACAATACTTATCAACCTTCAGCCACCAGCTCTAACCATCCGCAAAATACCTCTTAAGCTGGGAAACATGAGCCTTCTCTAATATTATGCCCATGTCAGGATTTCCCAATTGAACCGTAACTGGCATCAGAAACTTAGCAATGACATACGGTCCAGACCACTTAATAGCTATTTTGGATTGTTGTAAAATCATAGAGCTCTGGGGGTGTCGTTTTACTAAGACTAGGTCTCCAGGGCAAAAAACAGCCTCACTCCTCAACACATTATAACATCTGGCAACCCTATCCCGGGCTCGCTTCAAGTTCGCCAGAGCCCATCCCCAGAAATCCTTGGTGTCCTGAAGGGACTGCTGTAAATCTAACTCAGACAACTCCCATCTCAACCCCAAGGGATGGTTCAACTCCCATCACAGGAATAGGAGAGCTGGGGTAGCACCCATGCTCTCGTGCCAGGCGGTATTAAACGCCACGGTGAGAGCGGGTATGTTGGGAGTGATGGAAGATAGTCAGGGCTGCCTTCAGATTTCGATTAAAGTGTTCTACCTGCGAAGCCTGGCAGTAATAAGGTGATATCGTGACATGTTTTATCCCCCAGGAAAAGCAGGTATTGTAAAACAATTGGGAGCGAAAAACCACGGCATTGTCCAAAACAATGTAGTTGGGGAATCCCAAAATAAGGGAAATATGTCCCAACCAAACAAGTCAGACCACATTAGATGTAATCTTCCTCACAGGGTACATGGATACAAATTTGGAAAAGCCGTCCAGGACAACCAAGATAGCCCTGTTGCCCTGATGACTCCAGACAAGGAGACCAAATTGATAAAGACTCACTCCATGGGTTTTGTGACAACATGACTATTATGGAGGCCAACCCGCGTGTTTGAAGCCGGCTTAGCCTGTTGTCAAACGTCACACATCCTAACGTACTTAGTCATGTTGGACTGGATATTCGGCCAATAAAAAACCTTGCAAATCCGCCGAAGGGTTTTTGTCACTCCTAGGTGGGCACTTAAAGCCGAATCAGGAAAATACTCCAAGAGCATCGGCCCCAAATCTTGAGGAACTAAATAAGCTTTAGATTTGTTCCCCTGGGAGATACATAAACAGTAGTGTCGTTCAGCAGCCTGAAATTATGAACTGCCAGACCTTGTCGCTGGACCTTATCATATACCTCCCGGCAGAACCCATCCTTAATCTGGTGCTCCCTTATCGATTGAAAGGCGGCTGGCAAATGCTGAAGAAACAACCCGGAGAACGATCGCTCCGGGGGGGGGGTCTTCAAATTGCCAGGTCAAACAATCCACCACTGCATTGCTCTTACCCAAGATATGTACAGTTTTAAATTTATGAGGGGGCGAGTCTCAAAATCACCTCCCTATCCAGCCAAGTTCTTTAACATGCCTTAACAGCCAATACAGTGCCTGGTTATCTGTATGGAGGGTGAACTCCTTATGTTCAAGATACACGCGAAACCTTTTGCATCCCCAAACCACTGCAAGACATTCCTTTTCGTGAACGGAGTATTTGCGTTCTGCACCCATGAGCAGCCGGCTAGCAAAGGCTATTAGAGCTAGCCCCTCCTCGCGCCGTTGGTTAAGAACGGCCGAGACGGCCACCTCGCTAGCATCACATACTAGCACAAACTCCTTCGCGAAATCAGGAACTTGCAGCACGGGGGCGTGGAGATGGACGACTTAAGTCGTTCAGACGCCTGCCTCTGAGGCCCATCCCACACAAATGCCGCGTTCTTCTGCTTTAACCTGTGAAGCGGCTCTGCCAACTGCGAAAAGTCTTTCATAAAATTCGCGTAGAAACCCACCATCCCGAGAAAACGGTGCACCGCCCTCAGATTCTTGGGTAGGGGGAACAGGAGATCGCCTCAATCCTCTCAGGCAAAATTTTGATCCCTTCGGACGATATTGAATGGCCCAAAAACTTTATCTCGGACTGAGCCAACGTTACCTTGCCCCTGTTTAAGGTAAACCCAACTTTCTCAAGGCACCGAAATACTTCCCGCAAATGATCCAGGTGCTCTTCCAAGGAGTGAGGGTACACTACCAGATCGTCCATGAAATTATACACATAAGCATGTTTCAAGTTGCCTAATAGGGAATCAACAATGCGCAAAAGCACTTGGCACCATGCTGATTCACATCGGCAACTTAGTAAACTCAAAGAGACCAAAAAGTGTACAAAAAGCAGTCACCTTCCGGCTCTTAGCAGACAGCGGGATCTGGTAGTATGCGGAGTTGAGATCCAACACCGAAAAAACCTTGGCCCCTTGGAAGTTAGCAAAGGCGTGCTCCACACTGGGCATCAGGAAGGCATTGAAAACTACCTTCTTATTGAGAAGCCGGTAGTCGATAACCATTCTGTACCCACCCTGAGGTTTGGAACTAAGAATGTGGGGCTCACATACTGCGAGAAACTCTTCTTGACTACCCCCTTGTCCAGCAAATCCGAAACAATCTCACACAGGGCCTGCAACGAAGGGGGGAACATTGATAAGGACGGGAGCGAACCAGAATGTCGTCTGTCAGGTCTAACTGACACACCATCCCCCTCACCATTCCTAATTGATCAGAGAACAAGTTAGAGAAACTCAATACAAGCTGGTCAGGCTGTCGTAACTCCGACACACTCAGGATGGAGGAATGGGCACCCAATTTCATTAAGGCCCTTTCCGGACGAGGAAAGGTATGATAATACTCTTCCGAGAAACATAGAGGTTCAAAATCGTACCGGCAAGACTGCTGAAATTCATACACATATGATAACGTCGCAAAATCTAGTCACATCTTGGCAAAGGCTAAGAAATCTGCTCCCAGTATGCACGGCACCGGTGACTCCTCCAAAATTAGGAATTGGTATTTCCATGAAAGTGAATGGAGCTTTATTTGCAGCGAGATCGCCTGCGTGATCGCACAGCTCTGGCCAGCAGCCATGCGAAGATTACAATCCGTCTCGTCAATACGACACGACAACCCGAGGCTATGCATTTGGTCTACATCGTCTTGTCTGACAAACGAAAAGGAGGACCCTGAATCCAGAATGGCGGGCAGACAATAATCCTTTATCGTCAAAATAACCCAAGGATTACAACTTGCTGGCTTCACCAGGGAAACTCGGTTCCAAGGTTTTTCGCTCACAGACGCTCGGACCTTGGAGAAATCTTTCTCTACCCAGCGCCTCCATCGTTTCCCCGATTCCTCTTCACCGAAACGTCAGAAGATGGGCAATCCTTTTTTAGATGACCTCTACCAGAACATTTCCAACATTTCACGGAGTTAAGCCCTGATCGATGGGTCTGGCCAACCGCCATGCTGACTGGCTGGAATCCGCGACTACACTGTTGAACCATAGCAGTAGACCCGCTACGTTCCGCCAGGTTCCTCCACTCTTCAATCGCCTGGCCTTCAGCTCCTTGGCCCCCAAACACATACAAATCTTTAAAGGAAGTCGGCTTGTGCAAAAAATGAACTGAGAGCGCACATTAGGATGAACATTCTGTACTAGCCGGTCAACTAACGCCGACTCCGGCACATCATAGCCAAGAATATTTGCCACGGCAACTACCGACAATATATTGCGACAGATCCTCCGTCACAAAATTAAACCGCTCCAGGACATATCTTGTTAAAAGGCCTTCACGGATACGAGGGGGAAGAAAGGTCGACTGGAGATCAGAGCGAAACCCCCCCCCCCAATTTCCAGATGCACTTAAATTGCCACTGATTATCTGTGTGAACCTTCCAGTCATCCTAGCAACCAGGAGAGCCAAAAATCCCTCATCCGTAACAAGACCCAAGTCGTAGACTTCACTTGCCCAGATAAGGAACTTAAGCACCCCCTCTGGTTCCGCATTGGACAAAACCAGGATGCCCTTCACCCGATCAGTGACCACCCTTGCCCTTAATTTAATCTGAGAGTATGTAACATGGCCCTGCACACTACTAACTCTACTATCACTACCCTCCACTGTGTGCATGGCCACTTCAGACTTATCTGCCTTTTGAGGAAGTAGGTAGGTATCCAGAACTTTCCATTTTTCCTTCATACGGTTACGTAACTCGTCCAAAGTGCCCTGCACTGGAACCCCCAACTCCACCACCAGTCTCTCGGCCTCTTCTCTCGAAAGATTGTGAATCCATTTCAGCAGCATGATAAATGCATGTAACCCACAAATCCTAAGTATTAGATTCCACACTTAAATAACCAACAAGCAGATCCCTGCACAATACTACACAAGGTATTACAATTGCGCAATTCCAATTTAACAAACACCAAACCACACTCTACTACCATCTCTCCTCTCTCCTCTCTTGTGTGAACCGTTTCATACCCGGACTGTAACCTGACCGGATTTCAGGAGAGAGGAGGGGAGTTCATTTACCTGTTGTGGGATATACACTCACTAACCGCTTGGGGCAGGTTATTAGTAAGACAGTCAAATAGACGGGGACACTGCATACTGGGTTTTTACAATGGCTATAATGTAACAACCTAAAACCAGAATACATTCAACACAACAACAACAACAACAACAACAACAACAACAACAAATATAAAAATGAATACCTGAACAAAGAAATATATCAGCTGTGAACATCAAGAAATACATAACAAGAAGACCATGATCTACTCCGGCCATCCAGGTCAACGAAACCATCAGGGCCACCGCCCATTACGCTCACCAGAAAATAATAAAAAAATAATAAAAATCATAATAATACTCCCAGAAGACCAATATATATATATATATATATATATATATATATTACTCCTTTGCTTCACCATTCCACCATTGCTTGGCAAAGGGGCCCTTTCACAGGACTAATTGTGCTGACTATTGAAACAGATAAAATTTAGACGCACATTAAAAAAACCAAACATGAATTTCTAAGAGCAGAGACAACCGCCCTGTCCAACAGCCACTCACGGGAGGAGAAAGACCCTTCGTCTCGTTTATGGAAGACTGTAAAAAGGGAAGGGGAAGGGGGGGGACCTCACATGACTAAACATCCTGCAAAGAACTTAAACAGAAGAATAGGAACATTGGCTCTGCCGGACAACAGGACCACGACGCCCTCCACAGGGTGAACCCTTTGGACCATCTTAAGACGGTTCACCATATCGTGCCAAAGCATGCTGGTTGCTATGCAACAATAAACAACTCTTGGCAGGGTTTCCCAGCAACACTTGTAAACACAGCGTTTACGCAACAGTGAAGCAATGTGGGTTTCCCGCTGTCTGAGGGTTTATAAGGGAGACTGGAATGCGTAAGGAGAGAGTTAAAATGTAGCAGTCGCCGAGTTCAGTTGTAGCGAGTGTGAATTGTGAAGCCAGATAGAAGACAGTTGAAACATAGAAGCAGTTGCAGGGAGAAGACTGGAACTTGTGTTGTACTGAAGATAGTGTGAAGAGATTTGTGAGTAGGGTTTGTAAAGTGTGTAAACCCATAACAGTGTCATAAGTATTTGTAGTTATGACTTGTAGGTTGTTAAATAAACCAATTAACAATCCAAACTGCATCTTCAGTGGCAAAACACGTTACAGTATATACTCAATGCCACATTTTCTTTTTGCCCATGTTAAATGTGTCTTGTTGTAGCATGTAAACAACTGTCAGTAACTCAGATTATGTAGTGTCAAATGATAACATGGTAGCAAGTTGGTAAGGATGTAGAAGGATGTGGTTGTACCCTAATTTAAGGTACTATTCTGACATTTGCTTGATGAAATTGAGGAAAATGATGAAGACCCTCAGTACAGTCAGTGCTCCTGCCAAGATTTCAACCAACCTCCCAGGTACAAGTTAGAATTATTACAGCTTAAGCCAGCTTTCTTATTGGTGTGTCATATTCCTGGTACAAGAGAAGATACAACATTAGATTACTCTTTTTCAGGTGGAACATTGTATGCTTGGGGTTGTAATAGCTGCGGTCAGCTTGGCATTGGAAATAAAAATGGGCAGCCAAAACCTAGTGTTGTCAGTTCATTGGCTGGAATCCCCATAGCTTTCGTAGCCTGTGGAGGAAACCACAGTTTTGCTGTGTCTAGATCAGGTAAACTATCATCAATCATTGCCACTTTGTAGTCTGATATGAACACATTCTTCATCATTTTCATGTTATAGTCTAATATGAACAAACTTTACCTGCACAGCTGTAAACCAAGAAGTGTAGGATGTGAGTTTTATAATAAACTTCCCAACCATATGAAGCAAATTAGAAATAATGACTTTAAATTTATTCCTTCTGTATTCCTCACTTTTACATTTGTGTAATATTTATTTCAAGGATAAGATTACTAATTAAGTGTAACATCTGAAAAAGAATGGAACTTGCTTGTTGAATAACCAGGAAATTATGTCCATGATTTATTCTAACCATCTTACAGTGCATACATTTATTCACCTTACTCTTCTCTCTTGCACTACATGTTTCAGCACAAAAGTGTCATCTTCAGGTGCTTTTCGATGTATGTCGAAAAGCACCTGAAGATGGCACTTTTGAAACATGTAGTGCAAGAGAGAAGAGTAAGGTGAATAAATGTATGCACTCTACGATGGTTAGAATAAATCGTGGACATAAATCAGTGCAACAGGACGCTAAAATATAACATAACCAGGAAATTATTATTCACATTTTTAAGTGGAGGGTAAGAATATAACAAACATGATGCTTTGAAGTGTACACATGTTTGAGTCACATCATTTTCTCATTTCCTGTTTTGTTACAGGAGCTGTGTATGGCTGGGGTAAAAACTGCTTTGGCCAGCTTGGTCTCAGTGATGACACAGATAGGTTATTTCCATGTCAGTTGAAAACTTTACGTTCCATCAAAGTGAAGTACATTGCCTGTGGAGAAGATTTCTCTGTTTTTCTCACAAAGGTATAAAAAGGTATAATTACTACCATGCTGACCTCCTAAAACTTTTGTTTTGTGGTACTCTGGCCGTCAACTAAGATATTTAAAAAATAAATCTACATGTTTACAGGACTGGTCACAGTAGCTGAGCAGTCTAAGGCATGCACTGTCTTCACTTGCTCGGAAGCCGGGATCGTGGGTTCGAATCCCACTGAGGGCATCCATGTTTGGTGTGTGTGTGTATTTTTCTGTGTTTGTGTACAGGTAGAGGCCTTGTGACAAGCTGATCACCCGCCATAGTTGTCCTGATGAATTTCTAAGATCTAATAAACATAAGTGAAAGGTTTTGGCCATGCATACATGACTCAGGACATGAAAAAAGAACTCATATTACAAATGGGGTCTGACAAAATGATACTGAGACATGTATATGAAAAACCCTTCACGGTCAGATTTCCTGACAGGAGTGAATGGAAGGACGGGTTTCGATCCGATAGAAAAGGAGGACTGATCTGGTATACAGATGGTTCCAAGACAAATAAAGGCACTGGAGCTGGTGTGTACTGCCATGGCACGAGGCTGAAACTTAGTTTCAGCCTAGGGCAATACACGACAGTATTCCAGGCAAAAGTATATGCCATTAAAGCATGTATTGTGGAGAATTTAGATAGGAACTATAGAAATAGGAACATCTACATTCTATCTGACAGCCAAGCTGCACTTAAAGCGCTTGACAAACACCAGATCAACTCAAAATTGGTCTGGGATTGCCACCAAACCCTCATGGAACTGGCCAAACATAACAGGGTACAACTGATATTGGTGCCGGGGCATGAGGGTATTGCTGGAAATGAAGCAGCAGACCAATTAGCTAAAATTGGAGCTGAACATCCATTCATAGGACCTGAACCAGCCTGTGGCATCTCTCTAGGAGTTGCCAAACAGGCAATCAGGGACTGTACTAACATAAAACATAAGAAATACTGGAAATCCTTAACTGGACTCAGGCAAGCTAAGGGACTCATACGAGGACCTTACGCTAAAAGAGCGAAGGAACTGTTGAAGCTGAACAGGAACCAGCTATGATGGGTGGTAGGACTACTTACAGGACACTGTCACCTCAAAGGACACCTGTTCAAACTGGGACGAAGTGACAGTCCCACTTGTGAGAGGTGTCAGATAGAAAATGAAACAGCCACACACATCCTATATGAGGCTTTAGCTTATTTAAGACTACGTCACTTGGGTCAGTGCTTTATGGAACCAAGTGACCACTTTGACGCCCCCACGTCCAAAATCCTGCGCTTCATCCGAAGCGTGGGGTTGCTGAGGGAATAATTAAAAAAGGGGGAAGCACACTGGACCACTGAGGTCTAAGTGCAAGGGCCGAGAAGGCCTACCCCCTCATACATACATACCTAGATACATACATACAACATAAGTGAAGTACAGAGTTTCATGGAGGTAGGCCAAGCCCCAAATTGGGGCTGTAGCACCAAAGAATAAAAATTGTTTACAGTTTTTTTATTTAATAACTACAACGTCTTTCAGTCCATATTTTGGAGCATTCTCAGGCAGATTCATTAAATATACCTCATGTTATTGAAATATAATATGGGTCCATATTAGTGTTATTCATTATAAGCATCATACATGTAATTATTACTACAATTGCTTTTTTTATTTGAAAAATTCTTTCATTGTTATGAGGTAAAATTCTTTGATAGTTGCTACATATTGTAGGTGGTCGTTATTTTCCAGGGTTCACTGTTATGTTCTTGGTACTATTCATGTACACGGTGTGACCAGGATCCATTAGGACTCATCTTTTTTTTTTTCAATTTTTCCCTTCAGTGCCATCTGTTGGCGAGTTGTGGTGTTAAGATTCTTGAAATTTCAGCTGTGGCTGTCTATCATTTCAAAGCGCAAGCATCGCTGCATCATGTGTTCTGACCTTGAATGTAACAGTACTGTTCTGATGCTCGTTGGAAAATGGCGGTTGAACAGAGCCAACATCAAATTTTGTTTGAAGTTAGGCAAAACAGCTGGAGAAGCAGACGAAATGATGAAAAGTGTGTACGGTAGTGATTGTTTGAGTTGCTTGAAAATTTTTGGTGGTATGCTGTATTTTGTGATGGCAGGGAGGACATTGAAGACACTCCACGTGCATCAAAGTCGAGAACAAGTCACACTGAAGAAAATGTGAGAAGAGTGACCAGACTGATATCCTTGCACCAACAGATGTTTCTGCAAGACTCATCAAGGAGCTTTTGGGAATACCAAAAAGTACTGTGCATCAAATTTTGACCGAGGATTTGTGCAAACAGAAGTTCTGTGCGTTTTTTATACTGCACGCGCTGTCGGGCAATGAAAAACATGCCAGAGTGGAACACTGCAAAGACATATTACGGTCGGCCCAAAGTGATACAGAATTTACACAATCGATTGTTATGGTGATGAGACATAGTGTTTTCAATATGAGCCTCTCACAAAGCGGCAAAGTGCAGCGTGGTTGAACCCAAAGAAGCTGAAACCAAAGAAAGTGCTCATGCAAAAGTGTCGAGTAAAGACACTACTAACCGTTTTCTTCAATTCCAAATGAATCATTCACAAGGAATTTCTGCCAGAAGGTCAAACAGTGAATTCTGATTATTATCTCGGAATCCTCAATCATTTGTGGGCGAGAATTCTTCGAATTCGACCTGAATATTGACAGCAAGGTTCCTGGTCACTCCATGACAATGCCCTATCCCACAAATCAAAGATCATGCGCAATTTTTTGGCCCGAAAAGGGATCACAGTCCTTGATCATTCTCTGTATTTGCCAGATTTGGCACCAGCAGATTTCTGGTTGTTCCCAAAAGTTAAGTTGGCAATGAAAGGAGACCGTCACGACACCGTCCAGGACATCCAAAGGGAATCTTCCACAGTTTTAAATGCAATTCCACAAAAGGAGTAGAGTGACTGTTTTCGAAAGCTTTTCAATCAGTTGATTCAGACGGAGACTATTTTGAATAAAAAGAGTGAAATTTTGAAAATAATTCCCGTCTTGTATTTTTAATGAACACAGTCCTAACAGAATATGGACACACTGTATAATATTATTTTTAGTATTTTTTGTGGTTCCTCTTGCCTTCTTGAATGTGAAGAAGATTGAGTTTTTTTTCTCTTTTAGAGTGTGTTGTGTATCTCTTCTCATATGGATGTTAAGTCACGACATCACATTCAAAAAGGCAAGAAGAGAAACGTAAAAAACTAAAATTAACATTATATGCGAATTGTACCAGAAATATATAAAAACATAACAGCAACCCCCAGAAGATAAAAGCCACCTACAGTACATGACAAATAACACAGAATTTTGCATTGCAATGACAGAATTTTTAAAATTGAATCTTTTTGCAATTTTAGTAATAGCTGTATGTATTGTGATGACTGACACTAGTATGTCTCCATATTAGGATACTTCAATAATGTGAGACTTATTTAATGGAATTGCCTGAGGATGGTCCAAAATATGGACAGAAACATGTAGCAGTTAGTAAATAAACCGATGTAAACAATTAGATTGGTTTATTTTTTAAATATTTGTTGTGTTGATGGCCAGAGTATCACAAAGCATTACACACAACAGGATGCAATCAATAAAGATAGAACTTATGTTTGAATATGGAGGAACATTCTGAAGAAAGTATTGTTTCATAAACAGTTATATTGTAAGTGTTTGTCTTGATAATACCAATTTTTTCACAGTTGCATGTTCTGCATAGTTGTTCTAGTTTTACTTAATTTGAATTACAGCTTTTGAGAACTAATGATGAAAATTCCTGGACATCGTTTTGCACATTAATTCAGTCTGTTGTAAATTGAATGATCTGCAATAAAATGAAAGCCTAATGAACATTTTTTTAAAACAAAAAATTGGAGGAGCAGCTGTGATCGTCAATTTGTCAGTAACACATACCCACATACAGGAACAGATTTTGTGCACTGGGCTTTAGCTTCATCTGCTCTGTTGTTTTTAATCATTGTAACTGTAATGACAGACAGTATTTATTTCCTTTTTTCATTCAGAAGTAAAATACATTGTAAACCCTCCCTACCCCCCCCCCAAGGTTATTTGATATAAATGTTCATTTGTCCTTTTGTTAATAAAAACAAGCATGTTTCTTACCTGGATTATCTTATTCTTTAGTCTGGCTCCAAAATGTATGGGACATTTTTTTAGCCCTGGCATAATATAATTACATGCTTTTGTTTCTAGGATGGAGGTGTTTTTACCTGTGGAGCAGGGATGTATGGTCAGTTGGGACATGGCTCTACATCGAATGAATTCCTTCCGCGGAAAGTTATAGAACTCATGGGTAGCGTAGTCACACAGATTTCTTGTGGCAGGTGAGAGTAAAAGTTGTAATACTTAATCAGAGTGAGGAGCTGGGATAGCGCAGTTGGTGTAGTGAATGGCTATGGGCTAGATGACCAAGAGGTCAGAGTTTGAGTCCCATTACAGTCAAGAATTTTCTCTTCTCCACATTGTCCAGACCAGCTCTGGGGTCCCCCAAACCTCCTATCGAATGGGTACTGGAGCACTTTCCCTAGGGGTAAAGCAGCCAGGGCGTGAAGCTGACCTCTCACCTTCAGCTGGTGCTGAGGTGAAGAAAATATGGATCTATACATCCACTCCCCTATTTGCCTTCATGGCATAATTCTTAAATAGTTAAGTTAATAGTTTACCTTTTTTTTTACCTTACTTAGTCAAGGTACTTGGTATGACATTATATAATTTCAGAGATTCTTAAAGACCAGTGTTTGCTGTCACTATTGTAGATGAAACTGTGGCCACAGTTTTCTGCAAATGAAGATAAATCACATTAAGATTATAGTCTTCTGGATTGTGGCACTGTGTAATTTTGTGCGTGGATATCAGCGTTTGAATGGAATGTAACTGCCTCATTCTCTAGAATTGAAGGCATGTCGACCTTGAAGATGGAGGTGGTATTTTCCTCTGAAATGTTGGCATCCGCTCACAGTACTACACAGTGTTGTAAACTGAACACCACAGTCTTAATAACCACTGTTTTGAAAACCTCAAAATGTATGTACTAAATCACAGTACAGTATGTTCTAGTAATTCACCCCTTGATATGTCTGAAAAATATGTCCCTCTCATTTCTTGAGAACATGCAGTTTGTCTTAAACAACAGACAATTCTATGATAAATTAAATTCTGAGAGTATCTTTTGCAACCTGTTGGGTAATTGTTAACACAACGCTGATGTTAACTTTGTAATGCTTGGTCATGGGCTCTTGGATTTGGTGTCTGCATACTATTGATTGCTGGGACTGAGCTGTGTTTCTTGTCAAACTGTATCCAACATTTTGGCAAAAGCCAAAAGAATTGCCATTTTCAGTGTGAAAGTCTAGAATATACTGTAGAGAAATGTAAAGATTTGCAAAACTGAATAATCATCAGAAGTCACTGAACTGTATATTGTCAGCATTAATGACTAGACACTGGGTTTGGATTGTTAATTGAGTTTATTGAACTGTAATAAATAGTAACTACATATAATTATAACAGTGTTGCTAGTTCATGCTCTTGACTTCTTACTACAACACTCGCTAAGTCTTCTGTATCTTTACTAGCCATTCAGTGGATCCCAACAATGTCTTCTTCTGCATGTATCATTACCAGCTGGTGACTGTCTCACAACTAACTCATTGCCCCAAATGTCAAGTGTCACCTGCCTTGTCATGGCCTTTGCTGGATCTTGTTGTACAGCCACAGATTAGACCTAATAGAAAACGCTGCTTCTGACAGTCTCTTCTGTTGTTGCATGCATATCTGTTACTGTGGTCACATGTTGTTTATTGGCCATTACCACACAATGGAGGATTTCTTCTGGCTTCATTATTCTGACTGTCAGGTGTCATGTCACAGTATGTTCAAAAATATGGACATGAAGTATTACTCTCTTAAGTGGAAAGAAACTGAATTTTTAAGATTGTCAGCATTAAAGAAATACAGTATTACCATTACATGTGGCTATATTGTGTCTCAGTTCAGAAAATCTGAGTAAGATTTTGGTGATTGTTCCTAGGGAAAAGGTATTATACCACATAATCACCACTGTAGCAATTGATTTCCAGGGGTCTCAACTGTGACTCTGAAACTTGTGTCCTAATTTTATAGGTTGGTATGTTACACTGTATGACTTTGCATATTTGCTTCTGCTGTAATAAGTTGAAATGGAATAACGAATCATGAGATTGAGATTCTCATGATGAATGTAAGGGTTGCTGTCTTCCATGTCACTTCCCAGAAGACAATAAACTTGATAAAAATAATATGGTGTTTCTTTTTGTACATCCATTGTTTGCTCTTGAATTCCAATTTTGTGAATTGGCTATTGTTTGTAACAGCATGAGTAAGTTCTTTGCCACCATCTCACTTCTTGTTATCCTGTTTACCTAATCTGTGAAGAAGACCATCTAATTAAATTTTCTGTTCTGAATTTCTGTGTTTCAGGCGGCACGCTTTAGCCTTTGTTCCTTCAAGGGGACGAGTGTATGCTTTTGGATTGGGTGGAGCTGGCCAATTAGGGACAAAGGCCATCCGAAGTGCCACTACTCCTCAAGTTGTTCTTGGTCCATGGGTGTCACCTGGTGGAGTTTCTGTGGTTGAGGCAGGCATCCAAAGTGAGCATGCCAGTAAATGTATGGTGAAAAGGATCTATTCTGGGGGTGATCATTGCTTTGCTACAGTCACACATAAAGAGGTAAGTCCAGAACAGAAACTCCACTTGAATGTAGAAGGTCTAGCCTGTATTGTTGAAAACCTAGATTCAGTTTTTATCAGCTCATCCATTAAATGAGTCCTCATTGTTGTCGTCATTGTTTTATATGGGTAACTGGACTGAAACTCTCCAATCTCTTCTTTCTTCCCACAGTCCCTTTCCAGTATCTTGCCAGCTCCTTCCTTCACATCTTTCAGCATCTACTGAACCATCTTGCAGGAATCTACCAATCAAAATGACTTCTTCATGTACGTGGTGCGTTCTATATATAATGCCTCCTATTTTTTTGTGTTAATATGTAATGTCTGAGCTGGATGTTGGTGGTGTTGTAGTAAAGGTTGAACCTTCCCGCCAATGTACTGTTAATTTGGTTGTCGTGCGACAGATAGCGACAGCAGAGCAGTCTACCAAAATGGCATCTGACATAGAAGTGCGTATGAAAGAGAAATGTGTTATTGAATTTCTCACTGCCGAACAAATTGTACCCATTGACATCCATCGACACTTGCTAAAGGTGTACGGAAACAATACAGTGGATGTCAGCACAGTGATTCGGTGGGTAGTGCGTTTCAACAGTGGCGAAAGTGAAGTGCATGACAAGCCACGCCATGGGCGTCCCTGCTCAGCTGCCACTCCTCACAATGAACAGCGCCTCATCCGAACAGATCAGCAGATAACGACCAGGGACTGTCAATTCTGAACGCTACAAGACGACGCTGACTAAGCTGAAAGCCAGTATTTCCCTAGTCAGGCCAGAGAAGCAGACAACCTTTCGTTTGCAACATGATAACGCTAGACCCCATACCAGTTTGGCGACCACCGTGCACATTGCAAAGTTTGGCTGGACTGTCCTACCACATCCACCTTATAGTCCCGATTTAGCACCTTCAGACTTTCATCTCTTTGGGCCTATGAAAGACTGACTACGTGGGCAACATTTTCCAGACAACAATGCTGTCATTGCAGCTGTAAGAAAGTGGCTAGCCTCTTCGGGCGCAGACTTTTACAGGCATGGCATACAGGCTCTTGTTCATCGATGGCAAAAGTGCATAACGAATGTGGTGATTATGTGGAAAAATAGCTGTAAGTAGCTGAAATCTTGCTCTATTTAACTGCATTGCTATGATTTCTGTATCTGTTGTAGTTTTCTTAAAAAAAAAAATAGGAGGCATTATATACGGAACGCCCTTAGTATGTCTGATCTTTACATTATTTATTCATGCTATTTTGACTGCATGGCTTATTTGGCATGAAATTAGGTTGAAATGTGATCATGAATGTTAGGTAAGTAAGTTCTGGGAAGTAGGTGTTTGTAGTATTTGAAGGTAGCATCCCATAATTCTCTTGGAGAGATTTAACACCAGCTAACCTGGTAGACCAAGCATGGAAACTTGTCAGGATGGCTGGCTGATATTGAAACCAAGTACTGTTGGAATAAAATGTTAGAATTTTACTGTTGCACTGACCTGCTCCTTGTGATATTTTCAGGTTACATTCACAAACCTGCAGTATAACTGTGTTTATTATGACATGCATGTACTATTTATAGGATAATATACCATCAGACGACTTCAGAGACTTCAGCACAAGTACCCAGATTCTTTCTATAACAGAAGAAACTGTTCAGCAGTGTGAAAAGGCATCTGGCAGTGAAATGGTTGATCAAGACCTCATGAGGTACTTTTCACACAAAATTTTTTATTTCCTTTTAGATAGAGAACTTAAATATATGGTATTCAGATAAAGTGTTGTTTTCATTACAGTAACACTGATGTAATACTTGTAATAGTATTAAACATTCTTTAATAGCTTTCACTCCATTCAACATATTTTCACATGTTTGGAATCCAGAAGGGTTACTTCCATGGAAACACTAGAACAGACCGTGGCATAGGAAGTAAGAATAGTGGTTGTAATTCTAACAGTGAGCCATTGCATAGAGAATGCCGAATCTCCCCGGAAATGAGTCTCCATGGTTATAACGAGGGTTCATTGCATAGCAGCGGCCACGGTTATGAAAAGGGTTGAAGGCATTTGCCAAGTCAGTAGGAACCTAGATGCCATATGATATAGAAGAAAGGCAGCAAGAAATCAGTATTGGGATAGCCGTTGCCAAAGACAGTTGAGATCCAGCCACAGCCAAGGACAGAATAAGCATCGAAGTAGAGACAGAAGTCAAGCGATACTGCGAGTAATAATAATTGTAAGGTGTGTACATGTGACCGTCCAATAAAGATTCGCTAAATCTGAGACCCACATGAAGTTATTAGTCGCGTGACATACCAAACACATGACAATATTATCAACATTTTTTAATTCTTAATTTTTTTTAATTCACATAGTGGGGAGTGGAGTCCAACTTGGTCCACTTGGCACGTTGGCCACTACTGTCCTATTGTACCTGCCCTGGGTGATTATGATGATGGAGAATTTGGTGGAATGAAGACTGACAGGGGAAACCGAAGTACTCAGAGAATACCTGCCCCAGAGTCACTTTGTCCACCACAGATCCCACTTGACCAGACCTGGGCTCGAACCCGGGCCACCACGGTGGCTGTGGTGCTTGAGCTATGGTGCAGACTTAACATTCTTAATAGTTTGCATCCTGTTGTGTGTCTCACATAAGATATAAAGCATACAGGAATATACTGTCTACACAACAGCACTCTGTATTTAAAACAAAGAAGACACTATTGTATCAACATTTGTTTTATTAAAGCTTTTATGGACACGACATATTTTTTTGGCTAGTGGGGTGGGACTAAGCTCCTTGTACTGCGGCCACTTCTGGCCTATTTTACCAGCCCCAGATGATAGGTGAGGGTGATTGTGGAGCAATTGGTGGAATGAAGATTGTCAGGGGAAACCGAAGTACTTGGAGAAAACCTGCCCCAACACCACTTTGTCCACCACAAATCCTACTTGACCAGACCCAGCCCACTGCAGTGGAAAACCAGCAACTAACCGCTTAAGCTATGGCGCGGCCATATATCAGGCCATTGTCAGGCCTACAGTGTTCGGCTTGAAGCTGCCGAACTGCATCCATCATTCAGTTCATTAAATAAGGATCCTTGTTGTGTTTTTGGACTTAATTAAAATACATAAATATATATAAAATAAGTCTTCGTCAAAATTTTAACTGAATGTATGTAAATAATACAATTAAAATTATAACCTAAAAAAAGTTTAAGTTAAAAACATGAGAAATTAAAAACTAGATGCTGAAGATTGAGATGATGAAAGTCAAAAAGTTAAAAATTGTGTATTAATGGTAGAACTCTGAGACCGCTACATGTTGACTTTTAATTTGCCAGTGGAAGTGACTATATCATAGGGTGCCCATGTAACGGAATCTTCTCTTGTGGGGTAGGTCATAACACGACCTTAATACTCGCTTGAGTTTAGGCTCATAATTCAGTGATGTGATCTGTAACAGTTTAAATTATTACTATTTCAAGGTGGAACTTAAGTGTGTGATGTTAGGCTTGTTGTTAGGTTATTTGAAATGTGTACTTATGTGTATTAAGTAGTTCTGTTCTTGAGAGGGGAATACATGCAGGCTGCTCACTACATTGGTATTGTTGCTATGATGTAGTGGTACGGTCTAAGCTACTTGTTTTGGGGGATCTGCACATGCGGGCAAGTTCAGGAGGAGTCAAGCGGTATGAGGGAGAGGGGACAATAAGCAGTTAGGGAGATGAGGAAGGGGAGGAGGGATTGGGTGTGTGTGTCCCTACCAAAATATCAAATATGGGGTTATGTATATCTGTGAAAGTATTGTTCAGCTGAAGGCCCTTCTTTGTTATGTCATATATATATATATATATATATATATAATACCTTTCCAAGGTGTTAAGTTTTGGACCTTTCCTTTCTGTATGTAATACTTCTAGAGTCTGTTCACTCGTATTAAATGCATGTCCCATTTCAAAAATGTGTAGTGCAGATTTATTGTTTATGTTGTTTATAAGTCCTGATGGTGTTTATATGCTCTCTATAGCGAACTGTGAATGTACGTCCCATTTGTCCTATATATTGTCACATGTTGGGTGTAACGCAACAAATAACTTCACACCTCTCTGGATGTAGCAAATTTATTGCATGTTTGCTGTTACATTTACACAGTTTACAGTTCCACAACTACTGCCATCTGCAATATCACACTTACTTCTCCTGCTTCCATACACTCCAGCGAATGCTAGACTGCAACTGGCTGGTTACTCTCTCTCACTGACTGATTGCCTAGCAACAGTTGCTGCACGGGCTCCCCTGTTGCATGATGCCATGTTTACAAAGGCATTGCTGGGCAATGCTCCTGGCAACCAGCGCGCTTCGGCTCAGCTCAGCTCAGCACCGACAAATACCGCTTTCCTTGCTGTTGTGTAACTTCGTTTCCACTGTAGCATAACGTGGCAACTGTCCATTTATCTAGGGTCTGTCTTTGTGGTAACTCATTCCACCTCCCATTGTCCAGCAACAGTTAGACATGTCACAATATTTAAGAGGGCATTCACTGCACTGTAGCTGGTATATACCCCTCTGATTGTATATATCCCCTGGTATTCCCTTAGGTTTCAACAACAAGTTTTTCAATCAAAATGAAGGACTTGCAATGGGAGCTTCATACAATACCTTGAACATACCATAATTTACAAGATTCTTAATAAGCACCAAATCATAGACTATTATCAATATGTTGATGACATGTTGATTATATATATTGAACTGCATACGAATATCATAACACCTTAAAAGAGTTTAATAATGTACACCCAAAAATAAAATTCACAATGGAAAAAGGAACACTAAATAGAATCAGTTACCTTGATTTGACAATTACCAAGGAACACAACAAATTAATAAGATCTGAAAGTTAGTGACGATGGTAAATTTCTACAAGTAATATGTTTTCGGACATTATTCATCGTCTTGTCTATTTAAAAAAAAAGTCCCATTTCTTTTTAAAACACAACATTTTGGAGACTGGATTCTGTCCCCATCCTCAGGTAAAACCTACTCAGTTGCGTCCAATAGATAGAGCTAGTCCCTATCCCTGAACCAAATTACAGGGAGATAGGGGCTATCTCTATGTAATGGACCCCACTGAGTGTGTTTTACCTGAGGATGGGACAATCCAGTCTCTGAAACGTTGTGTTTTGAAAAGAAACAGGACAGTTTTTTAAAAATAGACTAGATAATGGATAATGTCCGAAAACATATTACTTGTAACAGCAAATTAACATTCATCGTTTTTCGTAAACCCACCACCATGTATTCCATTATACATAATGATTTGTGCCACCCCAATGGACACAAAAGAATAGCAACGAACTATTTATTAAACCGTATGGACATTTATCCCCTCACCCAAGAGAATAAAGATCGAGAACTGACAATTATAAATGGAATACTGAAGAATAATTGGTACCAACACTCCCTAAAAACTCCCAACACCATAAGAAAGTTGAACAAACACCGCTTAATACACAAAAATAGAAAACAAAATGAGCCACCTTCACATACTTTGGACCAGAAACTAGAATCATCACTAACCAATTTCATAATACAAACCTTAAAATTGCATTCAAGACAACTAATACAATCTAACATCATTTGAAACCTAAAGGAATACCAGGGGATATATACAATCAGAGTGGTATATACCAGCTACAGTGTAGTGAATGCCCGCTTAAATATTGTCACGTGTTTGGTATGTAACACAACAAATAAGTTCACGCCGTCTTGGATATAGCGAATTTATTCCACACTCGCTCCTACAGTTACACAATTCACAATTTCTCAATTACTGCCATCGGCAGTATCACAATTACTTCTGCTGGAGTCCCTGCCATGCACTCGATACAACCCAACTCGTAGCTCCTGGACTTCAACTCATACTGAATACTAGTAACTGACTCAATACTCCTGAATGGTGTTCGCTGCTCCTTATTTAGGCTCGGCACAAACATCATAGAGAACACATTGCTGTTTGGCAACAGATATCAGGTATTGTTGTCAGGTGTTCTACCTATGCATTGCCTAGCAGTAGTCACTGCATGGACTCGCCTGTTGCGTGACATCAGAGCCTAGTGGGGAGGGATGTTTACTGAGCGTTGCATAATGATGGAAGGAGTGGGGGTACGTGACGTCACTCGCAAAAATGCAGAGTTCACGTGACCCTTACTTCCTGTTGCACCATCCGCATCACAATATGTAGGACAAACAGGACATACATTCAGAGCTCGCTATAGAGAGCATATAAACGCCATCAGGTCTTATAAACAGCATAAACAACAAATTTGCACTACACATTTTGGAAACGGGACATGCATTTAATACGATTGAACAGACTATGGTATAGTCGCTTCCTCTGGCAAATTATAAGTCAGCACTTAGCGGTCACAGAGTCCTACCATTAATACACAATTTTTAACTTTTTAACTTTTATCGTCTTAATCTTCAGCATCTGGTTTTTAATTTCTCATGTTTTTAACTTAAACTTTCTTAGGTTATAATTTTAATTGTATTATTTAAGTATTGTAACGTGTTTAGTTACTGAAGACGCTGTTCAGATTGTTAATTGGTTTATTTAACAACCTACAAGTCTTGGCTACAATTAATTACAACACTGTTGCGGGTTTCGACAGTTTACAAACCCTACACACAAATCTCTTCACACTATCACGATTCACTCGTTACAACTGAACTCGGTGACTAGTACACTTCAACTGGCTTAGGCGGCTGCTACACTTTAACTAACTTTGTAGGCAGTGTAGTTCTCTTATAAACTCTCAGCTGGACAACGGGAAACGCCTCGCTATCTTGTTGCCTAGTCGCCGTGTTTGCCTGTTATGTAATGGGTTATTACCGTCGTCTCTAGCAACCATTGTTTACTTGCTTTGCTTAGCAACCGCTGTTTACTCGCTTTGCATAGCGACCAGCGTGCTTGGACTCGGCTCACTTCGGCTCCGCTCGGCACGTCACCGCTGCCGGGGGGGGGGGGGGCGTCCTCCATACTGCAACACATCACAGTATATTCAGTTAAAATTTTGACCAAGACTTATTTTATACAGGGTGTTTCACGACTTTAGGGCATAACTGCAGGAGGTGATTTCCTAGGTCTTTGTGATCAAAAAAGTTCATATAAACATGTGTCTGATTTTGGACGGTTATGGAGTTATGACCGTTTTTTCATTCCCGTACACGCCCTCGTGTGAACCGTGTCTGTCAGCTGGCAGGTTGCTATCTTTAGCCAGCTACAGACAGAGCATTCTCGTTATTTTGACACTTGAGAGCTACGTAAGGCAGGGTGGGTTGGTATGTCCGGTGTGGTTCACAACCGAGCGGCAGCCTGTGTTGCCGCCGGCGGTGGCATTTTCGAAAATCAGCTTTAAGCACCAATAAATTCAAATTAAAGGTAATTTCATGAAGTTAACTTTACAGTCATACTTTAAATGTATCATGTATTATGCTGGTTTATTATTTTGTTCCATTTATTCTCATTAATCGTTACCTTCTGTTCTGAGTTTAAAACGGTCATAACTCTGTAACCATCCACAATCGAACACATGTTTGTATGAACTTTTTTGATCACAAAGACCTAGGAAATAACCTCCTGCAGTTATGCCCTAAAGTCGTGAAACACCCTGTATATATTATGTTTTTGAATTAAGTCCAAAAGTCCTGTGTTCATATCTAATCACTAGCAGTGAGTGCCAACCTACAACTGACTGTCGACTCCCAACTTACCCACTTTGGGTTTTGGGTATATTTCCGCTTGCCTTTGACAGTACAGTCATTCTTGGTTTCACACTTTGCAGGACCCATGACATTATTTCTGATTCACTTGTCCCATTGATCCTTATTATATAATCTTGGCATGGATTGCATGGAAAACACTACTTCCAGCAGTTTTTCTGTTGTGTGTATATTCAGTGCTACAGGAATGTGTTTACCAAACCTTTGCCTAGCAGTGATCATCTCTTCTGGCTCTGTTCTTCACATGTCATGTCACATTATAAATAATTTCACATGCTCTAGCTCTTTTCGTGTAGGTGTAGTTCTTCTGACAAAATAAAGGTTACTGAGTTTGGACTGATTTTGGAGTTGATATTCATGGCCTCTTGCTTGCTTCAGCAGTGATAGCATGATCATTTCTGAGATGGAAGTTTCTGTGAGTTAGTAGAGTGATGAGTGTTAAGCTGGCAGATGGAACGTGTATCTTAATCTGCACTTGGTGTTCCACCAAAATTACAAATTGGAGTGGAAATTTTCTTTACATTACGTTAGTGAGTCAGTATGTTTCTCACTTTTCAGTTGCTTAGAAACTGTGTTCAGCAGTCAGGCTTGCATAAACTGTTCATTCCTTTTGCCTAATGATGAGCACTACTGCTGCACGTCACGTCGTCATGGAGTTGATTTGCCTTTAGCCGAACAGTGCTTTTCAGCTATTGGTCGAGTTGAGAATAGTTCGATAAAGGAATTGGTAAGTACTGAATCTTTTTTCTTTAACTTGATGTTAGTGAGCTACTGGTCAAGTTGAGAATAATTCAGTACAGTAATTTATATACAGTTAACATTTTGTATCCTTTGTAGTTCTTTTTTAATTGATATTCAACAATTTTTTAACGAACAATTTTCAATGTCACCCCATTGATAAGAGGAGGAGAGGGAGTTCTGCACTGTGCATTAGATATATGTTATGAAGTCTGTTATGTCTGACAGGTATTGTTCAAGGAAACAGCCATTGTCCCAGACCTTTAGGAAATCATCAAACTCTGTGTTACATTTATTGTATGTACTACAGTAAACCCCCTGTTTAAGGTTTCCTTGGGGAACAGTGGATGTTAACACTAACCTGTGGAGAGTCTTAAACAGAAATTTAATGCTGAGATTGTTGACTTCAGGTCACTGAAATGGAGTTTTAATTGAGGAATATTAAATGGGGGCTCCACTGTATTGTAAAAGGTTCAGTGAAATTCAGAAAGAATTAATTTCTATCATATCTCCATTTATGTTTTTTCTTGATGCAATATAATCTGAGAGTATCATTAAATAACAGACTTAAGAAAAATGTTCTGTTGTGCCGCAACGATTGCGACACAAAAATGTCTTTTTATATCTTATCGCTACCACCAATTTGTTGTGCCCGGATAGGGGGCATTGACTGTACTCACCCCCTATCGGACGTTCGTAGATAACTCTTAACCTGTGAAGTGGAAAACATGCTTGCACTCAGGGGATCCACAAATAAATCGAGTACTCACCAACAACAGTAAAGTAATATATAATGAAATAAAACACCATTACAGCAAACAACCTGTCAATACACACAAAACCTTCAATTAAACCCCTAGTTTTAAATTCCTACTGTTTAACTGTCCATAATACGCTAAACCTACATGACACAAATCAATACTTTTACTTGTAACTTCAAACTCAGTACCAGGATGACATGCTTCTACTATTTCAGACTCTTCATACAACTAGCAATTATTCTCATTACTTAAATTCTTGTCCACTACTGCTACATGGTTTCTGCCATTACCCAGAGTCCAGTTACTTTCCACAAAATGAACCAGCAAAGTCAATCCTAAAAATGTGATAGCCAAAAATCATTCGCCTTTTCATGCAAAATGCTATCATTTTGGTATGTAACAATTGCATGAATGTTGACAAACAAAACACTCAAATGCACAAGCACTTTCAAATTTCTTTAAATTACCAAACTCACATGATTAGCATTATCTACAACCTCAAACCAACATGCCAGTATAAATACAAATGGTTACCATCCAAACTTAATTATTAACCAAATGCTGGTATCTGAACCATCACTCAAAAATTCAAAATTAATCTGTACACTCCAAAGTTTATACACTAAAACAGTTTAACCAAAATCATTGATCCAGAATCATATATTGACAATCATCAGTGATCCGAACACAGGCAAGTACTCACGCTCACAAAAGAGAAAGACATCTGACTCCATCGCGTGTCCTTCCTACTACGCGACTGTTCTGAGCAACTCTTAAAATCAGAGTGTTCACAGCTACTCCCGTCTGAACCCCTCAACATTCAACATCACGAAAAGCTGCTCGTGCAAAACCCCTAAAGTCAGCAAACTGCGGTGGCGAGACTTGCCTCATGTCGTCACATAATTTGTCAGCAATTTCTATAGACTATACAACTGACACCGGATGGCTAAAGAATGTACGACATCTCAACTCCGACTTCGGCGGGTTTCCAACTCATGGTTCACCCGACGTATTTAAATTTATAAAACTTATAATTATATTCTAATTGATAAAACATAAATTTGACCCCTTGTTAGGATACGGCGTACCCATTAATAACCTGGGGCACAGTAGTTCCCTTTTGTGTCTTTATCTCATTCCCATCATTCTCCTGTGTTTTTTGCCCATCCCTTCCACTTGTCCATCATTGTATCACACCTCCCCCATTCTGAACTCTGGCCTGTGTTGTTAAAACAGTGAGCAGTTATATTTTTATCCTTCAGGTGGCCCTTTTTCAAGCCTGAAGCAGCCATCTGTGTATGAACATGAAACTGTTTCTAAGGGAACTACAGGAGAACAACATAACAGCAAATTAAAATGCTACCATCCTTACACTTGTTATACAGGGTTTTTTTTATTGCTAGTGGGGTGGGACAAAGTCCCTTGTACTGCGGCCACTTCTGGCCTATTGTACCAGCCCCAGATGACAGGTGAGGGTGATTGTGGAGCAGTTGCTGGAATGAAGAGTGGCAGGGGAAACCGAAGTACTCGGAGGAAACCTGCCCCAGCGCCACTTTGTCCACCACAAATCCCACTTGACCAGACCCGGGATCAAACCCGGGCCGCTGCAATGGGAAGCCAGCGACTAACCACTTGAGCTATGGCGTGACCCTGTACAGGGTTACTACAAATGATTCATTCCATTTCAGAACACTATATTTTCCAAAGTATTACACATACAAATATGATTGATACATAAAAGAACTGCAAACTCACGGAGTTTCATCATGATACATCAGTTGGCAGCATGAATGCAGTGGCCCACAAAATGGCAACAAAGCTGGAAAAGAGTTTCTGTGTGTTAGAATATGCGAGATGTTTGTCTGTTATTGCAGTGCAGCATGTATTCAGAGCAGAGCACAGAAGAGAACCACCATGTAAACAGAGCATTCTACGATGGTATCAGCAGTTTAAGGATACTGGTTGTCTGTGTAAATGGAAAAGCACGGGGCAACCAATATAGTGTTTTGAAATGGAATGAATCATTTGTAGTAACTCTGTATAATGATGTACAGCATTTAATCCCTTGACCTGTGTGTTCATATTCATCAGCCATTGTGTTTTGGAAGTTTCCTGCAGTAGATTCTATGCTCTAATATAAGATCATTTACTCCCTTGCATCAACATTTTGTAGCATGTGCAAAAGATTCATGTGTCACACATTTCAGTTTATGTAATCCATTTGCGGTGCCCTTTTCAGACATATAGAGCTACAGAACACTCTTCAAATGAATAATTGAGCAATATATGATTGAATGAGAAGGGTGTAAATATGAACAAATATAAATCACTCCGTCCAGTGTGACTTGTCAAAACAAAAACATCATACCAAAGTACGCCAACTTAAGTCTAAAAGGGACAAGTAGCGCTGCAAAGCTAACTCAAAAACAACTAACTAAACTTAGAATAAATAATGAGTTAAAATTCTTATATATTAAGAAACAAAATATCAACAACCAACTATACAAATTGCATCTAAGAAATGCACAGTATTGGCAGACCAGCTGGCCTCTGATAGAAAGCGATGTAAACCATAGACTAATTGAGGAATCAAAAAAACACTATAATGAACTTAATAATAAAATTGGCAAACTATCTAGTCAACTACACGGAAGCACACACTCACCTAATAAGCAAACATTTTATCCACGTTTGCGCAATATGACTAACATTCAACTCTCAGAAAAGGTAGAAAGTTTATTAAACAAAGGAAGCAAATATAATATGGGTATCTCACCTAAATTAGTCATAAAACAATTACTCTACGAGACAGAAAATACCATAAGACAAATAAAAGACTTCAATCAACAAGAAGCTATTAGATACCTAGCGACAAAAAACATACAACAAATAATGTCTAAACAAAACATCATAAATAAAGAATACAAAGAACAAATTTACACGACCAAAGAAATACAACAAAAACTTGCACAACACAAAGCTACTATAGCAGAAGCCGATAAAGGAAAAACACTAGTTATCATTTATAAAGAAGACCTGGACAAAAAAGTGAAATCTTTTATCGAAAATAACAACATCTCCGAATTAAGAACAGACCCTACACAAAAATTTCAAAGAACAGTACAAAACACCTTGAAACAATGTAAAATTATAATAGACCCAACAAAAAGAAGACATGTTCACCAAATGAACTCACAAGCACCTAAACTGAAAGCAAAAATTAAAATTCACAAACAAGAGGCCCCAATTAGACCAGTAATAAACAACACTAATGCACCCACACAAACTAGCTAAATACATACATCAAAGAATAAACAAACACCTAAAATTAAAATACGAGTACAACATCACTAACACAATACATTTTGCAGAAAACATAAGAAACTTAAAACTAAATGCAAATCATAAACTTCTAACATTGGATATTAAGGACCTATACGTTAATATCCCAATCTGTGATACACTTCTTGTAACCCATAAACTACTTAAGGATAGTCACATGGACAAAAGCATTATAAAAGAAATAATGTCCATACTCACAATGATATTGAACCAAAACTATTTCGAATATAACGGAAAATATTATAAACCAAGAACAGGCGTAGCCATGGGCTCCCCCATATCGAATACAATGGCAGAAATCTTCCTATAAAACATGGAACAAAGCAGAATAAAACATCTGCTGGAAGATGCGAAAATCAAATACTACAACAGATATGTAGACGACATCTTCATAATATGTAATCACACAAAAATAACCCCCCAATGCATCCTCGAACAGTTCAATAGACAACATAAAAACCTACAATTCACAATAAACGAAGAAGTAAACAACCAAATAACCTACTTAGACTTAAACATAACTGACAGAAATGGAAATATACAGAAAACCAACATCGACAGATATAACTATAAATAATAAATCATGCCACCCTAAAGAACAAAAATTAGCAGCATATAAAAACTGGATACACAGACTTCTTACACTTCCACTCGAGAAGGATGCTAAAAGCAAAGAATTAAACACCATTATTAATACAGCACTAAATAATGGCTATAGAAAGGAAGACATCATACACCTGTATAACAAACTTAAACAAAAGATAAGTAACCCGGATAATAAAGATGAAAAAGAACAACAAAAATGGGTCACTTATACCTACACAGGAAACTACATACGAAAAATCACAAAACTATTAAAAAACACCAACATAAAGATAGCCTTTAAAACAACACACACAATAGGTAACCTAATAAACAAAACGCGACAAATAAACCTGTACGAGCATAGTGGTATATACGAGGGGGGACCCAAAAATAACTGGAAACGACCTGTTGCGCGCGCATGCTTTGTAGTTACGAGTTGTGCTGCTAGGTGGTGTTAGCTGGGGGTCTCCCGCGACTGTTAGTGAGCTGGCGTCAGTCTGAGTTAAGTGGTTTGTCTGTGGTGCTCTGTTGTGTGCGTTCCTGTTTCAACCCTTTGGCGATTAGTGAGATGGTCGACCAGAAGGAACAAAGAGTGTGCGTGAAATTTTGCTTTCTGTTAGGGAAAACTGCACTTCAGTCTTCAAGTCGCGACAGACATTCATGCGGTTTTCTCTTTGGTCATCTCCGAGCAAGTGAGGAACAAATTTTGGAGACACCCGTCTCATGTGCAAACCTTTGGTTAAAATTCGCTGGACCGTGCTCCATGAGATGTTCGTTTCCTCAGAAAGTTGGTGAATGGTCTTTCGACGATCTTCATCAATTTCACGCACACTCTTTGTTCCTTCTGGTCGGCCATCTCACTAATCGCGAAAGGGTTGAAACAGGAACGCACACAGCAGAGCACCACAGACAAACCACTTAACTCAGACTGACGCCAGCTCACTAACAGTCGCGGGAGACCCCCAGCTAACACCACCTAGCAGCACAACTCGTAACTACAAAGCATGCGCGTGCAGCAGGTCGTTTCCGGTTATTTTTGGGTCCCCCTTCGTACAAATTAACATGCCAAAGTTGCCAAAAAGTATACATCGGCCAAACGGGTAGAAATCTAACAACTAGATACAAAGAACACATAAGAAATATAAGACTAAACAAAGACGAATTGGCATTTGCCCAACACATACTAAATAATCTCCATCAATACGGGCTGATGGCAGTAATTATGGAAATGATCGAAAAAGCTAAAAAGGGAGGCATAATGGATATAAAATAGGACTTCTACATATATCAATTTAATAAATTCAATAAATTGATAGAAGAACAAAAGTATAAAAGAGAAAGCAATAGCCCACGTAGTATGTTCGACCTCATAATACATCATCAGAACACGCCCACATTGACGTCACAAACACAACAAGCATAAATTCATGCGACACAACACACTTCTGAACAGTGAAAACAGCACAGCAGCCATGAGCAAACCCTGGAAGATATAAAGGTAGGACGTAACATATCCTCAAACAAACATATATATATAAATTATATTTATATAGACAGTATAAACATTGAAACCCATAATATATTTGCAGAACTTCCACATCAAGATAGACAGGTGGCACAATATCTGCCCCCTACAAGAGGGACGATGGGAGGACGAACACGAGCCTGCATGGGTTATGAATTTTAATTATTGACAATGCAAAATTTTAATTAGCATCAAGAAATTTTAAATAATTTTTTAAAAACTTTACATTCCCAGGAAACTGCTGTGGTTGTGAAATGTTCTATTTTGTGTACTATGCATTGTAGCATATAAGTGTACGTACTTTACGTCTAAACAACTTATGTGATGGTGGTTTCCTATTTGTAGTGATGTTTGCCCTCTGAAGATGGTCCGCAGAGACCGAAACATGTAAGGGTGTTAAGTTTTCATGTAGTAATAAACTTACAGGTCACATTGGACTGAGTGATTTATATTTGTAATTGTTAGTGTGACGGACCAGAATGAAACAAATCAAAAGTAAATATGAACTTTTATGTATACATATGATGCATTGAATTCATGTGTTTTTTTGTTTTTAGATAGCAAACTGTGTAGTAGAGAACTTGCTGCCTTCTCTTGTTACATCACCACCAGATGTGGAGACCCTCAGACTGTACTTAATTCTACCATTATACCATGAGTTTGATAATCCCAAGAACTACACAGTTCTTCACAATCCGTTTGGCCGCACTTTCCTGACCTTAAAGACTGAAGCAAGCAAAATTGTAGGTGAGTACGAAACTTGTTGTGAAACATGTATTGTGTTTTTGAAGGTAAAAGGTGAAAAAGGTAAAGCTATCTCTGTAACAGGCCATGAAGGCCCATAAGGTTGTAAGATGTCAAGGCTCCCACATTTTCTGTAGACGGTCAGCTCACAGATGGTGGTAAACTTGTCAGCCTTATGCGCCGGACACCCTGTACCCCCTTGGAAGGTTCCTGGTACTCATTTCTGCTAGATGCTGAGTCAACCCCAGGGCCATAATGTGGCTGGAGGGATTAGGTAAATTGAAAAAAATCCACCTCATCGGGACTCAAACCCACGACCTTCTGGCTTGTGGCATAGTGCCTCAACCAACTATGCTGCCAGTTGCCCCTGTATTGTGTTCTTGGTCATTCATTATGCTTTAGCTGGAACAGAATAAATGAAATGATGACAGTGGTGTGATATTTCTCAAAATATTTTATTTTCAATTTTTATAGCTTGTGGTTGTGATATCCCTCATTGACTTCAAAATATAGTGTGGCCCTGATTATCCATGCTAATAAGAGGGAATAGATGGACAAATGATAAAAAAACATGGACAATCCAATGGTAATCTTCTGATTAGATCATGACCATGATGACTTTAGAATGTGGAAGTTCAGAAATGTACTCATAGCATCTGGAAGACTGTAAGACTAATGGATAAAGCCTGTTGATTGTAAAAAATATGTATCTAATTTTTTCTTCAACTTTTTTATTCTGTTAAATATTTAGTGAGTTACATTTGAGAGACACAATAGAAACACTTGTAGTTATTCATGTAGATAATTGTTATAATTGTCCAATCTAAATGAAAATTGAAATGACAGGTTTTCATAAAATTTTCCATCTGACACAAAAATCTGTCCAGCAATTCTGAAGTTGTTTCCTGTGTAAGATGGATAGACAAACATACTGAGTGAAATTAATAGCTGCTCTGCAGTGTTGCTAACATGCCTTAAAAGGTGCACAAATAAGTTGCAACCCATATAAGCTGGATAATCAAGAACATACTGTGTACAGTATATACTGTATAGGAAGTGGCAAAGTATTTTTTATTGAAGTAGCATGTATTTAACTATAGTTTCTCTTCAAAGCAGACCTGTATGTAGTGCCTTGCATTTATTGGACAAGATTCAAACTGATGTTTTACGTAGATCGATTGATTGATTTATTTTAACATCCATAACTGTTACATTATGTACAATTGGACAAGTCAGTTTTTTAAAAAAATATATGAGATTAAACACATCAAATGACTAATAATATAAAAAACCATAGAAATGACTAATGACTAATGGTTCTCTATCTTATTTGCTTTATAAAGTAGTAAAACAATTGTGTGTTGTCCAGTGACTATTGCCTTGACAGTACAGCTGCAGGTGGCATGTCTGAATATGTTTGTAGTATAAGAATTAATGCCTTCATACAAACTTCCTCTCTTTGCATCTCTGCTTCTGGCTTACCTCTCAGCACATCCGTTTTGCTAGGGTTCTGCAGTTTTTTGTGATGAAGAAGTGAATATCAAACAATCTTCATATGCCCAAGGCATCACAGAATGTATCTACAGGCACAATCTAGCAGCAGAGGCACAAACTGCATGATCAAAGTGCATTCTAAAAGAGAAATATTTTGTCTTGACACAGCAGGCTTTCCTCATGAGGTGAGACTGAGTCCACTTGGTACTGCAGCCACTGTTTGGCCTGTTGTACCAGCCCCAGATGATAGATGATTGTGGAGCAGTCGGTGGAATGCGAATTGGCAGGGGAAACTGAAGTACTTGGAGAAAACCTGCCCCCAGTGCCACTTTGTCCACCACAAATCTCACATCACCAGACTTGAGCTTGAACCCGGGCTGCCACAGTGGGTTTTAATGTGGTTCTCCACCCCACCCCCCTTTCTGAGGGATACAACAATGGCACTGGAACTGTGTCCTTTTCTCACAGCTCTATCTGTCACATTACTGAATGATGCAAAAAAGGAGGGGAAATGAAGCAGTCATTGAAATCACAGTGTTTTGTCACTAGGAGGAGGTGAGAAAAAAATTTATTGGTTACAATGGATGGATAGATAGGTGGATGGATTGATTCAAATATAAACAAGATAATACAGAGCTCTCCATTAACGCAGATGTAATTTTGAGTTACAGTGGAACCTCGCTTAACGAACACCTCTCATAATGAGTAATTTGCATAACGAGCAAAACAAATTGTAAAAAATGACCCACTTAAGGAGTGACGTTTCGCATTACGAGTGACGAGAAGGGAAGTCCTGGATTGTGCTCTTGCTACATCAGTCTGTGTTTAGCACTCGTTCTGCTAGCATCTTAGTGTCGCTTGTGATCACACATTTTTCCAAACTTGTGTTCAGGCATATTATTTGTGATTTTTTGTGTGCAAAGTTTAATATCCCTTGCAAAAATGTCCCTGAAGAAAAAGCCGCAAAAAGACAGCCTTAAGAGAATAAAAATAACCATAGAAATGAAACGTAAAATCATTGAAAAGTGAGAACGAGGTGTGAGTGTGGCTGATCTAGCACGCACATACAATCAGTCTACATCAACGATTTGCACGATTTGGAGTTGCATTGTGTTTCACAGCAAGAAGTTGTGGAGGAGAGTTTGTCAGAGGAGGAGGAGGTAACAGCAAAGCGACAATCTTCTGGCGCAATAAGAGAAATGCTGAAATCATGGGAAACTGTTACATCATACATTGAGAAGCATCACCCTAATAAGGCAGTGGCTATGCATGCTACAGATTTATTTAATGATAATGCTGTGTTGCATTTTCGCCAAATTTTGAAGCGTCGGCAAAAACAAATGTCTCTAGACAGCTTTCTAGTAAAAAAAGAATTAGATATGTATCATAAATAATAGACTAATTATTTCGATTTTTTTGTTTTCTTCAAATCAAATTCGCATTCCAGGTTGGTTCATTCCGCATAGAAGAAAAGATGACATGCCCCTTAACAATGTATATATAATGCTCTTTGAATAAACGTTATACATAATTTTTTTTTAGTATTTTTTTTTTTGGCATGGAACGCATTATTGTATTTTACATTTATTTATATGGGAAAATTTGTTTTGCTTAACAAGTGTTTCGCATTACGAGTAAGATTCTGGAACGAATTGTGCTCGTTAAGCGAGGTTCCACTGTACTTTCTTTCCTTGCACAGAATAAAAAAGTGTAAAGAGTAAAAGTGTTTCTTTTGGAATTCTGCTCTTAAGCAAATATAGTCTTATTCTTCTTATTTTGCTTTCAAATTTTATATCAGTTTAAGTTCACTGATCTGTAAAGCAGATGAATAGAGGAAAAGTGTTTACAACTATTCCTCTACTCATGAAGGTAATTCATGCCATGAAAACTAGTGAAGATTTGTAAATTGAAAATGAAATTCTCATTACTTTTTATATAAAGGTTATGGAATTTATGAACATATGTTGTTCATTTTAGTGAAAATGAAGTTTATTAAATGGAAAATACATACAAATTAATGTGAATCCTTGTAATGAAAATGCATGAAACAAGCATTTGTAAAATACTATTTTTATGGTCTCAAATTTTGCTCACTTTGGAAGATATATAATGTTCAGATTCTGGGCAAAAATATGAACAGTTACCTATATGGCTACCATATGTTGTTTTGATATTAAAAAGGTACAGTGACTGGTGACTTTCACTACAGTTCTTTTAGATTCAGATAGTTATAAAAGCCATACAGACTCAAATACCATAGCCAGGATAGCTCTGTTGGTGTAATGACTAGGCTGGATCAGTGGGGAATCAGGGTTTGATTGTTACGAGGAGCAGAGACTTATCTCCACCACATCCAGACCAGCTCTAGGGTATACCCAGCCTTCTTTCTGATGGGTACTGGGAGCGTTTTCCTCGGAGGTTAAGACAGCTGGGGCATGAAGCTGGTGGTTCACATACAAATGTGCTGAGGTTAACTCATTGCGGACCAGCGATTTAAATATTTAAATAACCCTGGGGCCACCATTATTAAACCTACTATCCCAACTTGTGCACTGTTCACTTTAAAAATTAATATAAAATCTCCTAATTAATTTTATGAACTAAAATTTTTGGAACACCTACCAATGCTCCTAGAAGTGCTTGAGTATGTGATATTTCTGGAAACATTCCCCTTTGTGAAGTGGCATTACACAGAACTTGCAAATGTAGATGTACTCCTTTTTATGTGAACTGTGCAAACACGGCATTGCCTAGAAGGATGCTTTCCCTTGGAATGTTCACTCTTTCACAATTTTCACGACGGTATGTTTCCACATATGACCCAAGAGTTGCCCTGGAGGGCCCACATTAGACCTGCCTGGGGTGGGAGTTGATGGCCCAGTCGCACTAAGTCTGTGTCTGACTCTGGTTCTGGCACCACCATCTGGTCTGTAGCCCAGGCCTTTGCCACATTCATCAGAATGGCTTTGTATTTCAATTTCGAATCAGAGTTTAGATTTTTGTGATTTTTTTAGATTTTTTACTGTCTGTGGCCACAATTCTTTGTTCTCCCGTCACTGCCACTCTCTGAATCACCATGACTACGCGTCTCACAAGGCAGGTCAGCTAGCTCATTGGAGAAGAATTTGTCCTTGATTCATACGCCACCACTAACTACTGGCTGATACATACAAAGGCAAAGAAGGCAAAGCATTTTCCTTTATAGTGAGTTAAGAAAACAGCGAGGTTAAGTTACTGACAAGTAAGCAACAATTCCAGAGTTTTATTACGCAGCGGCATGCAACTTGGGTGGCACCAGAGCAAGGCATAGTGTGTTACAACCTAACGTGTCCTAAAATCATGATATCATGCGACCGGTCCTCGAACTGTTAAGAATGCTTCGAGCGCTACCTCCACACTCCCACATACTTGTTTGTGGTGTGGTGTTTCACTAAGCTCAGGGACATCTTAACTTTTTTATACATTGCTACTGTGTTTTAGTGTAATATTATATTATAGTATCCTGTTGCACTTTTCACTTAGCGTCTTTTATTCATAGTCTTACATGCAACACCATGTCCCACAAAACTTATTAAGTTTAAAAGTCCACTGCATGTTTCAGCCAATATGGCCATCATCAGATGTTAAAATCTTTTGACGAGAAAACTGCTGTCTTCTCCAGCGCACAAGTGCATCGAAGGGACCTGCATATATTAACAACAGAAGACAGCAGTTTCCTCATCAAAAAGATTTTAACATCTGGTGATGGCCATATTGGCCAAAACATGTTGTGGGACGTGGTGTTGCACATAAGACTGAATAATAGACGCCGTGTGTTTTAATATATTTTAATGCAATTTTTACTTGTAATTGGTAATGTAATTGGAGACGTCTTTTACAAAAAGAAGTATCCTGCTCTACCTATGTGTCCCATTAGTTCTTCTTGAAAAGGTTGGACAATTCTTCTCCTTCAGTTTCACAACTTTATGCAACTGTCTTTGTAGTATTTTTAAGAATCAGTTCTGTAATTATTGTTATTGTTATGCTTACCTGATGATGTATATGCATTTTACTCTTCTGAAGAGTAATATCTTCTGTGGTATAACGCCATTAGTCCATGGAATACAGCATTATATCCCAGAAGATAGGGCTTTTCATAACCACTGCTATCAGAACATCAGATCCTACAATTATTCTTCTGTCATCCAGGTTTGTGGTGGAGTAGTACATCTTTGGATTATTTTGAACGCTTAATTAGAGTATTCAAGAATGTTGTCATGTATATACTCAGGAAAACAGAAAACGTCAACCAGGAGGTAAGAAATATATATAAATGTAATGTAAACTTGTTGACTGAATGGAAACCCTGAGTCATCGTATTTATGTAGTTCACTTTACTTCATATAGTACCAAAGTTAAATTCATTTTATTGCAAGCTTTTCCTTTAACAGTTTTCTTCATGAACCAATTATTTTATTGGGGCACGTGGTAGCATAGTTGGTTGAGGGTCTATGCTACAAGCCGGAAGGTCGGTCACAGGTTCAAGTCCCAGTGAGGTCATTGGATTTTTTTCTGTTGACCTAATCCTTCCAGCCGCACTAGGCCCTGGGGTTTACTCAACCTCTAACAGAAATGAGTACCAGGAATTAATTAAATAATTTTCCTGGGGAGTAAACACGCGGCCAGCGCATAAGGCTGGCAACCTTACCGCCGTCTTTGAGCCGATTGTCTAGATAGTGTGGGACCCTCAATGTCTCACAATCCTATGGGCCTTCATGGCCTGATACAGGGATAACTTTACTTACTTTTTACCCATTATTTTGTTCTTAACGTTTTTATTCTGTGTAATGTTCAGGAAATTTCAAATATTATTCCAATATGAATATTGGAGAATGAACAGTACTGGTTCTTTTTCCCAAATACATTTCCTGAGAAAAACATTTAGATTTTTCTCTCTTATAAGCCATTCGTGATATATATGAACCACTGAATTTTGGTTATTGCTTCTGAATATTAGAAATTAATCGTTTTGAGGTTCATGTATTTTTATATACAACATCCCAGCAGGGCTGATTGTTTTTATTTTGTTGGGGTTCATTTTACTGAACAATCCACCAGAACCAACTTAATCTTACTTTATTTTAAGACTCTTAGGACTGTTAGGCTGAGTCTGACAGATCATGGAAATGTAATTTTTAAATGTGATCCTGAGAATAGACCTGAATTGTTTAAAAGATACTAGTAAAGTTTTTCTTGTTCTGAAGTATGCTTCTTTCGGTTTTTCTTCTTTTCACCACTTCACTCATAAAGAAATCATGAGATATCAAGATGTTTGTTATCAAGGAATGATGTTAGCTGCTATTCTGCCACATTTTCCAATCTAATTCATGTGTAACTTGTAAATTAATGTGTAAAACTTTCAGTTTTCCAGTATCCAAGCATCTGGAATTCTCATGCAACCAATAAACTTTTCCAAAAAAATTACCATTTTTGTAAAGGTACTTCCTACAAAAAGTTGCAATTCCCAGTAGTTACGACCGTAGTTCTCCCAACTACCACTAGCGGTGCTGCCTATCAGCCTCTCTCACACAGATGAGATTACAGTAGAGGTTAGTTGAATTTGTCTTTGCATTATGGTATATCCAAAGCTGATCACAGGTATGTCACCTAGGAAGATTGCCATGTAAGACCCAAACAGAAACACATTTTTTTTCTTTGAAACTGAAAATGGTAATTGATGATAAAATGGTGAAAATCATGTGAAATTTTGGTTTCTATAGGTTTTTCTCATAAACAGCAAATACGTGTAGCCAAAACAAGGGAGGCAAGTAAATCACAAACTTCTGAGCCTCTATGCAAATCAAATACAAATCTCTACTTAACAGACATGATGACGTTTTATGGTGACGTCTGAAAGTAACAAAGAGGCAAATCATTTTAATGCCTTAAAACTAAAAAAAAAACACAATTATATTCATAAGGAAAATGTCAATAATAATGGCTTTAAAATTTACCATCAAAATATTTGTGGCCTGTTAAGTAATACCAGTGAAATTTACGCTCACCTACATCCAGAATTTCCGAAAATACTCCGTTTTACAGAACATCATTTAAAATATTCACAAATTGAAAATTTGGCTATAACTAATTATAATTTAGGAACTAGGTATTGTAGGGAGTCTTTCATAATGGGAGGTGTTTTTATATGTACATAACTTGTTGGATTTTGAAGTTATTAATAACAGAGAATTATATATAGACAAAGCCATGGAGGCATGTACTATAAAATGCAAATTTCTATCTAGTATATTTTGTATTTTAGCTGTTTATAGGTCTCCGTCCAGTAATTTTCCTTTATTTATTACCCAATTAGGAACTTATAAAAAAATTTATAAACCAGATTTACAGATGCTACATAGTTTTCGGTGATTTCAGTATAAATTATCTTGTACACAATAATAAGAAGCAACAATTGAACTATATGCTAGAGTCTTTCAATTTATTTAGTGTGGTTCATTTCCCAACTAGGATTAGCACTGCAGCTCAAACATTAATAGACAATATCTTTATAGATATAACTAAATTTGAAAATTATATTATCCTTCCGATATTTAATGGTTTATCTGACCATGATGAGCAGTTATTGTCTTCACACCAACAAGAGTTCTATTGTAAAAGCACTAACCCAAACCATAAAACTATGCGGAAATTTAATAAATTCTCACTAGATGGATTTAAACTTAGATTAAGGTATGAGATATGGGAAAACCTGTTCCAATACAGAGGATAACAATATAGACAACATGTTGAATACCTTCGCAAATGCATATCTCCAAATATTTTATGCCTGCTTTCCAAAAAAGAAAATCTATGCGCAATCTCCCCCTAAATGGTGGTTAACAAGCGGAATTAAAACTTCTTGCAAAAGGAAAAAAGAACTGTACCTTTTGTCGAAGGTACATGACAACAGTAATCTAAAACAATATCATATAGTAAGATCCTGACTAAGGTGATTAATGAGGCAAAAAGACCGAGCTATAATGATAAAATTACCAACTCCAATAATACTATTAAAACTACCTGGAATATTATTAAAGCGGAGTTAGGTAAAAACCGCCTGAAGGACAAAAACTGTAAAACTGCGAAAATAAATCAAAGCATTTTTATAATTATTTTTTGAATATTGCTGATAATATTACTCAAAGAATTTCTACTGAAATACTGATAATAATAACTATAAACATTATCTGAATTTGACAGCTAAGGACCCCTTTCCCAATATAATATTCAATAAAATAGCAACTAAAGAAATTTAAAAAAGTTATCTCTTCTTTACAATCAAAAAATTCTTCTGGATATGATGAGATTTTGATGAAGACACTAAAAATTAGTGCCCCATACATTTCTTCCCCTTTATGCTATATATTCAATAAAGCAGTCTTAGCTGGTAAATTCCCCTTACATATGAAAAACTCGATTGTAACTCCTATATACAAGAAAGGTGATAAGAAGAACTGTGCAAATTATAGACCAATTTCATTATTAACTTCATTTTCCAAGGTGTTTGAAAAAATAATATTTAGAAGATTATTGACACATGTTCACGTTTTTGACATTCTAGCCAATGAAGAATTTGGGTTTCGCCCCAAATTATCCACTGAAACAGCTTCATATAACTTAATAAATACAGTTTTAGCAGCTATTAACAGTAAAGAAAAAGTAGGTGGAATCTTCTTTGATTTGGAGAAAGCTTTTGATTGCGTAAATCATAAAATACTTTATATAAACTTGAATTTTGTGGTATAACTGACAACGTATATATTGTAACGTGTTGCTGGTTACTGAAGACGCCGTATGGATTGTTAATTGGTTTATTCAACAATCTACAAATAACGGCTACAATTACTTATCACAATGTTACGGGTTTCCACAGTTTACAAACCCTACAACAAAATCTCTTAACACAATCTTCCAGAGTCTTCACGTATTAATAGTGCGGGAGCTATACAAGTCTCACTGAATTACACACTCCAAATATAATTGGTTATCACGAACTATCACTGATTCTCACACACGCATCTGTAGCTCGTAACTTGTGAAGTGAGAACTCGCTTGCTGCTCAGCCGGCTTTTATTCCGTTCGCTGTTGCTAGGGTCGCCCGCCACGTCACTACTGTGACGTAGCGTATAGCCTAGCAACGCTGTTACCCCTTGGTGACGTCACCGCTGTTGACCCGCGTTGCATAGCTACAAGGTTTCGGGGACTCGGCTAACTTCGGCTCTGCTCGTAACGTCACCGCGGGGATAGTGGCGGGGTGATGACTCGCCTATTACGCGAGCGCTACGTTACCGCCACGAGCCGCTGGGGAGGTAGGGGTCCTCCTTTGCGCAACATGTCACACTGCTCCCTCCTTAAGGCTGTTCGTCCCGAATAGCCTAACGGTGCTTCCCCCGTTCCTTTTCTTTGGAGGCTGTTCTTGCAGCATCTTCTTTGTGTCCTTCTACTGTTTCTCTTCTCCCCATTGCTCTGCTCTCCAACCGCCACATCTTCCCCCTTTTTATGGTTGCTCGTCTCGAGCAGCTCCATGATAAGGCGCGAGCCGGTCGAGGTGTACAACCAGCATCCTCGACCTAGGGGTCTTCTGGACTCACTAAACCACATCATTTATCCGGGTCACTACTTTGTAAGGACCTTCCCATGATGCTTGTAGTTTCGGCGATTTCCCCTTTTCTCTCCAAGCGTCTAATTTTGCCTCCGTTTTTTCTTGGCTAGCTCTGATTTCCTTGAGAAGCATTTCCATGATTTGCTGCGTCTCCATTTTGTAGCAGTAAAATTCTCTGAGGCGTATTTAAGATCGTAAAAATTCTGACACCAAATTGTCACGTGTCTTGAGTTCGAATCTCGTCGGTCACGTGTGTAAGTCCAAATCCCACTTGTGACACCAGTGTAACGTGTTGCTGGTTACTGAAGACGCCGTACGGATTGTTACTTGGTTTATTCAACAATCTACAAATAACGGCTACAATTACTTATCACAATGTTACGGGTTTCCACAGTTTACAAACCCTACAACAAAATCTCTTAACACAATCTTCCAGAGTCTTCACGTATTAATAGTGCGGGAGCTATACAAGTCTCACTGAATTACACACTCCAAATATAATTGGTTATCACGAACTATCACTGATTCTCACACACGCATCTGTAGCTCGTAACTTGTGAAGTGAGAACTCGCTTGCTGCTCAGCCGGCTTTTATTCTGTTCGCTGTTGCTAGGGTCGCCCGCCACGTCACTACTGTGACGTAGCGTATAGCCTAGCAACGCTGTTACCCCTTGGTGACGTCACCGCTGTTGACCCGCGTTGCACAGCTACAAGGTTGCGGGGCTAACTTCGGCTCCGCTCGTGACGTCACCGCGGGGATAGTGGCGGGGTGATGACTCGCCTGTTACGCGAGCGCTACGTTACCGCCACGAGCCGCTGGGGAGGTAGGGGTCCTCCTTTGCGCAACATGTCACACTATGTTATTAAAATCGTATCTCCAAACCTGCTATCAAAGGGTGATAATTAAAAATGGACCCTTTGATACGAGATCAGATTGTGGTCTGGTCAAACATCGTGTTCCCCAGGGATCTATCCTGAGACCATTACTTTTCATACTATATATCAGTGACCTACCTTTATCTATAAAATATCTAAACATTAATGTAAACCCCCAAACAGTTTTATTTGCAGATGATACTAGCATAATCGTCAGCAATCAAAATAATACTGTACTAAGAAATGGCTTGAAATCAGTCTTCACTAGTGTGATGAAATGGTTCAAGGCAAATTTACTCTCCTAAATCTGGACAAAATGTATTGTGTGGAATTCCACTCTAAATATATTCTTAATTCCGAAATACAAATTAAATATAACAACAAAATTATTACCAGTACTACTGAACTAAAGTTTCTTGTGCTAGTACTTCACAATACTGTCTGTTGGAAGAGTCACACCGATATGTTGGCTTCCAAATTAAACAAAGCGTATTATATTGCAAGAACAATCAGAACTTTCTTATCTTTAAATTCCCGAAAGATAATCTATCATGCTTATTTTCATTCAGTTATAACATGTGGATTAATTTTCTTGGGAACTTCTTCCCACAATATGAATATTTTCAAACTCCAAAAGTGAATGGTTAGAATACTGATGGAAGCAAGACCCAGGGATTCTTGCAGATTTTTTTTTAAATTTAAAATATACTACCTCTAGCATCTCAGTACATACTCTCCTTGGCTCTGTTTATGGTTACCAATAAATCATTGTTTAGACAAAATTCTGAAATTCATAATTTTAATACCATGAATAATTCTAATTTTTTTTTCAAGTAACGACTCACTTGACAATGTTTGATAAAAGTCCCACCTAAGCGGGCATTGAGATATATAACCATCTTCCGGCTGACATTAAGGACTTGGCATGTGATATTAAAAGCTTAAAAAACATTAAAATTATTTGCACAAACATTCTTTTTATACTGTGAATGATTTTTTTATGCATAAAACTAGATAAGTATTTCTGAAGGTAATAGTAACATCATTGTATCAGTATTTATAGTGTTATATTATTTTTATTTTTTTCTCTCCAAAATCTTTTAACATTCGCATGTCTTATTGTTGTTAATATTGTACTGTCTTGTATTCGTTTTTGACTTTTCTTTATCCAATGGTTGTACCAGTATGAGTCAACAGAATATAATAAATGAATTGGAAAACAAAATCCTATTCTTCACACAAATGAAGTAGCAGGGAGTTTACTGCATAAATAATTAGATCATACCTCCAGCTGGTAAGATTAGGTTTTTAGTTAATTTAACAAGCTTTTGCAACTGAACAGGTTATACACGGTCCCCTCCAATAAATTGTCTCTTTCATAAAAACGTTATTTTTTAAAAAGAAAGGAAGAAGCCAGTGGCCCTGTGGCATTGCCTGGAATGTTTGGTTATATTTATTTATGCAGTAAAGTTATGAAATCTTGGTGATTTACAGCAGTGCTGCATAACAAAATTCACTATCATTGTGCTGATATTGAATTACTATCAAGCTGTTCAGGCAGATTTTAACAGAATGCATGGCTGCCTAGAGAAGGGTGGAAAAGTTGAGGCTCTATGTTAAGTAAATTAGGTTTGTTTGCTGACTTTGTTTTTCAATAAACAGTACTGAGTGAAAGTAGTAGCAGTTTATTGCAGGACCTTGTATATAGCATGGTTATGAATGGTAATTTTGAGGATACGAAAGGAAGTGAGTCATGACCTGTTTTAAGATTTTATCCCAGTACTTACTTGGAAGAACAAAACTCTTGGAAATTAAAATACAGTAACCAGCAACAAAGCAGAACATTATGATTCCTTCAGATTAATTCTGTATAAATGCAATGGATAAAATAATGTGTACAAATTTGAGTAACAGGAAGGGGAGGTCTCAGTTAAAACCAGGAGCAAAGTATCATCCACAAGGTTACTGAATAATACCCCTGTTTGTACTTTTGGCACAGATTGTGAACTGGGATCATGACATGGAGATACCACTTGAAGTTCTTGGAAAGTTGAACAAATTGAATAATAATGTCGATGGACTCAAGGTGCCTTATGATTCCTTCTACCTGACAGAACTTACCGAAAAAGTTGACGTCCGGCTGGACTACCTCAGATGGCTGACGACAAAGGATCCTCAATTGGTTGGTTACTGTCTTAAAAATATCTGTTAAACTGTATGAATGTTTTATTTGATTTTGATATGTACTTGTATCCGCTGATGGCTGAGTTCTTTCGTGTACCTTACCTAATTTATCAATACTGTACCAATGCTTAGACATAAATGTGACTACGGAGAGTTGTTTGTTAAATTCCATATAGTATATGTCTTGATATAAAGGGATACTGTTTCAAAACTTCTGTATCCAAACAAAATATACTGTGGCTGTGAAATTGCATTTAAATAGATCAGATACTGACTTCATCTACATTGTAGAGGAATGCAATCTGCAGAGAAAATTTAGTACATTGTGTGACACAGTTCAAATATTTGGAAATTAAGAGGAGATTGAATCTGGGTAATGCTTGCTACCCTTCAGTCCATAAACTTTTGTCTCCTCATCTGCTGTCTAAATTTGTAAAAATTAGAATATACAAAACTATAATTTTGCCTGTGTTCTATATGGGTGTGAAACTTGGTCTCTGACAATAAGGGAGGAACATAGAGTGAGGGTGTTTGAGAACAGGGTACTGAGGAGAATATTTGGACTGAAGAGGGTGGAAGTGACAGATGGCTAGAGAAAGCTGCATAATGGGGAGCTTCAGAACTTGTACTCTTTGCCAGATATAATTAGAATGGCCTAGTCAAAGAGGATGAGATGGGCCAGGCATATGGCATGAATGGGGAGAAGAGGAATGCATATAGGATATTAGTGGGAAAGCCAGAAGAAAGAGACCAAGATGTAGGTGGGTAGGCAATATAAATTTTATCTTAGATAGGATGGGGTGGTATGAGCTGCATTGATGTGGCTGAGGATAGGGACCAGTGGAGGGCTCTTGTGAACATGGTAATGAAACTTCGGGTTCCATAAAATGTTGGGAAATTTTTGAATAGCTGTTAAGCTGGCAGCTTCACAAGAAGGGCTCAGATCCAAGGAATTCTTAATTAGTGTTTTAAAGGACCTGTTACATTGTAACAAATAATTTACATACTAGAATCTTCTGGGTGATCAGCTACATCAAAGTCAAAGGCTCCTGCCCATGCTTTACACAATTGCTTGTATTAGTTAGGCAGTTACTACCCAGGTGGGTGGACAAGACAAAACAGACCAGCTGTTTGGCCTCTGCCATCACTCAACCTCACCCCTGTCAGCTTCTGCTTGTGGGGCCACTTGAAGAGCATGAATACCTTGCAGAATACAGATGTGCAACGGCTGCACTGTTACACTCTGCTTCTCTTCACAGTCATGTCTCTCAAATTGCCAAGTGAATTCAGTTTATGCCATTCTTTGATATGTAACATGTCTACCACAGTGAACACACCAGAACGTCAACAATAGTGACCTTGGGTGAATCTATAGACTGAATGACTGCTGTGTTCATTCCGTGGTTTCCGTATGATATCTTACTAATGAAGCATTTGTGACATTATACTTATATGAACGTTTCTGCTTGCCTATGGGTGTAGAACATGATGCTTATATTTAATGCATGTAATTAAGACTCATCCTATATCAGTTTAGCTATACTTACTTGCATGTCCAGTGATTGATGTTAGTTCTTTCTAATGGACCCCACGCAGTAGGTACCTCCTACCACTTCATTTGATGATGGGAACAGATCCATTTTCCATGTGTTATTTAGAATGTCAGATAATGGACAAAGCCCAAAAACTCCATAATTCAGAACATTATGCACCATGGTGAGAACCCTTTGGAATTGACTTAAGAAAAATATGTTTGCCCCATCCAGTCTATTCTCACGCATGAAAAATGACAACAAAATGTCACCAACAACTGAAGATGCTGCCAGTGAATATTTTTTCTGTACATGGGGAATGACCAGGAAAATATAGTTGGTTCTCTTTGTTGAATACCATTCTGTTCCATTTACTCCATGTTAATCTGTGGTGTGCCCTTCTGGGCATTTGACTGTAATAGACAAAACATTGTACAATGTCAGAAAGGCACAATGTTACAAATTTTATCTGTAGATATGCCAATCACAATGACCATGTGGTCTAAGGCATGAGCAGTCTTCATCCACTCAAACATTGGAGTCATGGGTTTGAATCTCACTGGTGGCATAAATGTTTGGCTGCATTTATTCTGTGTTTTTGATGTCCAGTCTAGGTAGAAACCTTGCGATGGGCTGATCCCCCATCCAGAGAGTCCTACTGACTGCCCATAAGGTCTAGAATCTGAAGTGAAATGAAGCATTTCACAGATGCAGCTTTAGAGGGAGCACAAGGAAATATGACTGAATGAATCTGTAGATTTGATGATTGATGTTCTGCTTTGTTGAAAAGGTATTATTTATCCAGCATTTAGTGAAAACACGTTATGAAGTGTAACAAAGTTGGACAGTACAAGTTGGTATATAGCTAACGCTCTAGACGATAGGTGCTTGCTTCAAGTCTCAGCAGGACACCGACTATTCTGACTTAGGTTTTTCATGGTTTTCCTCAGTGCCATGAAACAGATGCTGGGATGAAACCTTGATTGGGCCATGAACACCACCTTCTGAATCCTTTCCAATTCATCAGCCATCCAGTCATCTGATGGTATATGCTCTCAAAAGTGAAATAAATGTTAAATTACATACAGAAGGGGCCAAATAAATACATGAAGAAATTAAATAAAAATTAGCTGTTTTCTGTTACCAGTTTTCCACTTTTATGATTAATACAAATCCACAGTGATATTTCCTTATATGCACCATTTTTATATTGTAACGTGTTTCGTTACGGAATACGCCGTAGAGATCGTTAATTGGTTTATTTAACAACCTACAAATCACGGCTACAATTAATTATAACACAGTTGCGGGTTTCCACACTTTACAAACCCTACAACCAAAGTCTTCACGTACTAATAACGCGGGAGCTATACAAATCTCCCTGAATTACACACTCCAAATATAACTGTACTACAGCACTCACTAAGTCTCGAAAGCACACAATAAGTCTTCTGCTCGCTGACTTCTTAGTTATCGCACACTGTCACATAAAATCTTGTAACCACGTGTTCGGGTCTTCTTATCGCGACTGCTGCTATATGTCAACTCGACTCACAGGCTGCTGCCTTGAGAATAAAAACCGACTCTCGCTTGCTGCTCAGCTGGCTTTTATTCCGTTCGCTGTTGCTAGGGTCGCCCGCCACGTCACAGTAGGAAGCGGTGCCACGTCACCGTGTTTGCATATAGCCTAGCAACGCTGTTACCTCGCGCCGTCTTACATCACCGCGCATTGCGTGTTACGTCACCGCGGAGGGGGGGGAGCGCTACGTTACCGCCACGTGCCGCTGGGGAGGTAGGGGTCCTCTGTTGCGCAACATGTCACAATATGTTCATATAAACTTCACTTTCAAATTTTTGTCATAAAATGTTGGTGAATATGTATGTGAATTACATAATTAAATACATTATACATGGTTACCTGTTTAGGCAGTGGATTTCATTTGAAACAATATTTATGTCACAGATATTATGTCTGAGGAATTATATGTAGGAATCGTCATGTGTGAATGAAATGAAATGTTGGTGCTGTCTAATTCTGTGAGTACCAAATTATAATTTGGCTTTTTTTTTTTTTCAAATTAAATTTGTTACTCTTTGTCATGTCTAATGTTTGAAGAGGGACCTGACATAACGTTTCAGTCTGAATTTCGTTATTGCTATGCATTCCTTTAAATAATGTTTTGGAATGTTGTTTTGTCCATTTGTAATTGCAGGATCAATATAATTTCTTGCTTGTGTCACAACATTTTTTTCTTCTTCTTCTTGCATGGTTTGGCTAACATGATTCTATCCTTTGTGGAGCCAGCTGTCTCAGTTTCCAAGTCTGGTAATGTTTATCATTTTAATTTTTAAATAATGTTTAAACTCATAGGGTAAGGGCATGTCAGAAGGACCATGGCAGTGGTGGCTTTAACTGAGAAAAAGTAGAGTGCAGCAAATTAGCCAGTGTATTTATCTTTCATTTTATTGTTTGTAAAGTAATATCTGAATGAACATACATTAAGAAATACTCTCGATTATCGGGGATAATGTTGGGGATGGAAATCACAATTAATCGAAAACCCGGTTAAGACAAATTTTGTTAAAAGTAGTACTGTAATACTGTACCTTCATAATACTATAGGCCTGCCTGTATTTAAATTTATTCAACCTCATTTTTGTGTCATCTCATAGCGTAATTAATACTTTTTTTTACATTACAATGAAGTATGAATTAGTTATTTCAATCACATCCAACACTTTTTACGAATATTCACACTTAACACTTAAAAAAAGCGGCCTCCGTAGTCTAGAGGTAACGTTCTCACCTCATGACTCGTAGTACGTGGGTTCAAATACCCGGCGGAGGTCATCGAATTTTTCAGGGCGGAAAAATTCAGGGAACAAGTCCTCCAGGAGGGACTTTAAGCCGTGGGTCCCGTGTTGTAGCTTTACGGCACGTAAAAGAACCTCATATCTCCAAAGGAGGCCACTGAGCCAAATAACGGATATTTCCTGTCCAACAGCAGTCTCTAATACCTCTGGTAGATGGGGGAAGCATTATAGATACCTCTCAGCTAGTAGAGCCGGTCTCGCTGGCTGGGCGGGACTGATGGTAGGCACCAGTACCGGTAGGATATAGAGACTGGTAGAAATCATAGAGGGAAGCACAATGGACCAGTACAGGTCTAAGTGCATGGGGAAACCCACCCTCTCCAATAACTAACTAACTAACTAACTAACTAACTAACACCTAAAAAAATCTAATATTGCCATTTGCTTTTTCGTGGCATTTTCCTTTTTACGGATATCCGTATGAAGCCTATGTAATATTAGATTGTCACTTAATAAACTGTTCTCTTCACTCTCAAGATAGTCTAGTAAGGATTCCAAATGATTAAGAGCAGCACCATGTGATATTTTCTTACTAGCAGCACTGTCCACCTCTTCCTCATTCTCACTTTCTTCCCGCTCTTCTGGCTGCACC